CTTTTTTTTCTCTTTCACCTTTTTGCGCCTTCATCCACCTTTTGCGTGCGGATTTGTGAACGTTTTCATCTGCATTTTCTCGCTGGTTTTCTGTGCATCTTGCGGTCGCCTGTTGCAAAAGTCTCGCTGTACTGTACGGGCCACCGACTTTTTCCCACTTCTGTCTGCATCGTCGCATTTTAGTCTGTCTGGCCTGAAGCTTGCGAAATCAGGCTCAGCAACAGATATTTGCCTCTCTTCCATCTGGTTTCACAGCGCCCGCAATTCCGCAAACATGCCTCAGTATCGTATTGGTAAGTTCCACTGGTTTCTTTGTGGCATATATATTTTCCCATCCCCCCCCCCCCCCCTATGTCTCCCTTGCGCTGTAGACATTCCTTCGGGGCGTTGCTATCAATGTGAAAACTAAACTCGCTGTACTACCATGTAGAGATTTCGCCCAGCAACCGCGCCGGCTGCAATGACACCGTGTGCAAGAAAGAAGGCGTCAAGATCTTCAAGAACGAAATAAGATTCGGCACTTGGGTCGAGATCCAGGACCGCGGTTCCTGGAAATGGAAGCACTGGTGAGCTACTTTATTATTTCGTGATCACACCGGATTTGTATATTTTCTCAAGAGCCACTAACCTCACAATCACTTTTAGGGGCTGTGTGTCTGGATCCCAGATTGCCGGTCTTCAGGAATCCTGTGGTGGTGATCCTGATAATTATGACTTTGATGCCATTGACGGCTTTGACGAACTCAAGTAAGTCAAGGCCTCTTATATATACCGACAAAGTATGCTAACACGTCATATAGTGACGAGGATGTCAAGGAGAAGATTCGACGCTGCGTGAAGCAGGGCCACATCGATGCCGAAGACTTCAAGGGCGTGAGTTTCTTTTGTGCTGTTTACATGTTGCAAATAGTGTTTTCACAATCTGACATACCGCAGGATCCTGAGAAGAACAAGTTGGGCGAGAAGGGTATTTATCTTACCGCCAAAGAAAAGGCTGCCAAGGAGAAGGCAGCGGCCCAGGTATGCCCAAGCTTCTCTGCAATCTGCTCGACGAAGTTACTCACCTTTAATAGGACGCTGGTGAAGACGAGGCTGCTCCGGCCAAGGCCAAGAAGCGAGGCGGCAAGAAGGCTGCCAACGTCGCAGATGAGCCTAAGCCTAAGAAGGCGCAGAAGCCTAAGAATGTTGAGGCAGATGAGGAACCGCCCAAGGCCAAGTCCAAGGCGAAGGCCAAGGCCAAGGATGCAAGCGAGGAAGATGCCGGACAGTCTGCTTCTGCCAAGAGAGGACGGCCAAGAAGGTCAATCACTCAGCAGGATGAAGAGGTAGAGGGCGGAGAAGCTGAGGCGCCAGCTCCGGCCAAAAAGGCCACTAAGAAGGGATCCAAGGCAAAGGCCGCCCAAGAGCAACAGCCTGAAGAGGAAACTGTGGAAGAGGAGGCAGAGGAGGAGGAGGAGGAGGTGAAGGCTACTCCTGCCAGGGCTGCGCGTGGACGGAAGACGGCGGCTTCCAAGGAGGCGGCGGATTCCAAGGCGAAGGCGGCGACGACAGACAAGGATGAAGACGCCACAACAGCCACCCCAGTCTCTGCTCCCAGGGGTCGCAAGCGTGCCGCGGCCAAGACTGAGGACGCTGAAGAGGATGAAGCCAAGCCCCTTGTTAAGAGAGGACGCAAGTCGAGCACTCCCGCCAAGAAATCTGCCCCCGAGCCAACGGAAGAAGTTGAGGCAAAGGTGGACACTCCCAAGGCGGCGCCCAAGGTCAAAGGACGGGGTCGTCCTCGCAAATCCGATGCCTCGACGGCCTAAGGTATCACTGCGAGTGGGTGCTTATGGACGTGTTACATATGGGAATTGTGCTATATAACAAAGGGGGGAATGTTTGCGTCGACTAATAGGGGGCATGGGAGAAGGTGCAGTAATTGCCCGGAGGTTGTTTCTTTTTTTTTTTCCCCTTGATGACCCCCTGCCGTTGGTCTTGGGAAGATGGACGGTTAGGTATTTAATGAGCTGTGAATGACCGGCCTGTCGTCTTAGAGAGCAAATGTTGCTTTACTTTTAGTCCTTGATGCCATCTATGGGTTGAAGAGTCGTTGTTGAAACATGCTGCCACTCGTGTACTAGATTGATATAGCATCCATTGATTGGACCTACAACTACATGTCTTGAAGGAATACATGTACGGACTAAGGCGGCAGCTAACAGCAGCTCCAACGGCCTGTCCAGTGTGTTCTAACAGATCCAGCAGATGTTCTAGCTGTTGTTCTAGCGCCTCTATAGCTACCTGTGCCTCTACAGACGCAGCTTAGCGTGGGCAGACGTCATCAGGCACACCCCGCAATGCAAAGCTGCAGCTGTGCTATCCATTTCCAATCTCTCCACTGACATTGACTAGGTATCTTACATACCTATATTTCTGTATCCGACGTCTTGCTTCTCTACAATCTACTCCGATACCAGTCGGTTATATCGCAAACCATAGTTTAGATAACCCCAAGAGACACAAACGATGTCGACAAACACGAATCCCGACCCCGCCGCCACGGCTCCGGCCTTCATCCCCCTCGAGGCCAACCCGCAGCTCCTCACAGCGCTCATCCACAAGCTCGGCGTGTCTCCCGCGCTGCAGATGCACGACGTCTATTCTCTTACTGAGCCCGAGCTGCTAGCCTTTATCCCACGCCCGGCACTGGCGCTCCTGCTCGTGTTTCCCATATCGGCGGTCTATGAGAGCCACCGGATGGCGGAGGACAGCCTGGCGACGGAGTATAACGGCACTGGCGGCACGGAGCCGGTGCTGTGGTGGAGGCAGACGATTCGGAACGCGTGCGGGATGATGGGGCTGTTGCATGCCGTGTCGAATGGGCCGGCGAGGGAGTTTATCAGTATGTTTTTGATCTTCAAAAGTCGCAGCGGGCGCATGACGTTGACGATATTATCTTAGCCGAGGGATCTACGCTCGACGAGCTCATCAAGAAAAGCACCCCGCTGCACCCCGTCGAACGCTCCAAACTGCTCGAGCAGACGCCGGCGCTGGCCGATGCGCACAAGGCGGCTGCCACCGAGGGGGATACCCCTGCGCCGGACGCTCAGGACGACGTCGACTTGCACTACGTATGCTTTGTCAAGGCTAATGACGGTGGATTGTGGGAGTTGGACGGGAGGAGGAAGGGCCCGATTCGGAGGGGAGATTTGGATAAGAATGAGGATGTGCTGAGTGAGAATGCGTTGAACCTGGGGGTGTTGAAGTTTTTGGAGAGGGAGGGTGGTGATTTGCGGTTTAGTGCCGTGGCTTTGGCTGGGACGCTGGATTAAGTATGGGATGTTTTTGTGATGCAATACAAGAGGAGTAATGTGTCTTGGGTAGGATGTTGACGATCCTGGATTTTCTTTGAGTAATCTCCTTTGTTTTCCTTGTTTTTGGAGGTCTATTGAATAAGATGACCCCAGAGAAGATATCTAGCAATAGAAACATGACGATGAAAAGGTAGATGGTATGTGCGAAAGTAGCAAGCGAAGTTGGGGCTATTCGTTCCTAGTCTGGGATATCTGTCCACCTCATTTATCGTAGAGTACCTATATTAGCTTACGGAAACTCTTCACAGTGCGTTTAGACTTCTCTTTTACATACGCATTCTTTCTCATGGGTTTGTAAGTTTGCAAAACAAGTCTCAGCGTCTCTATCCTCGCTGTTAGTGCACCTGCTGTTGTTCTTGCTACTTCTGCGAGACAATTAATCTCACATCTCGGAGTGTTCAGCTTACATATGAGTATAGTGAGTCCCCATGAGATAGATTGTGCATGGGAATAAGTGGAGAGAGTGATGTTGACTTGATGTTGATGCTGCCTCATTAGGGAGGGTGAGATGAGGCCGAGTTGTCTGTGGAGATGCATGTGGACTCAGGCCTGCCTCTCACTTTCTATGCATGTTCTTGACGTGCTTGCTAGACACATGGAATCCAAGGGTGACTGTATTAGGTGTGGCAGCTTTGAACTCACTCTTACTTGAGGGTTTAGATATATATGCCGGGTGCTATGTATAGGCGTATATCGAGGCAGTTTAGTGTGTAAAGGCGCGAGCCGCAGTCGGAACAGGGATGTTAAACAAAAGGTTTGTTTCATCTCGAGTGTTTTTGCCTGGCTAAATATAAAAGGACCTTGACGTGGCAAGCTGCCAAAAATTCTGCAACGTGCAGGCCGGCATCTCGCAGGGACCACGACAATAAACTGGCCATCTTGACTTTTGACCTTACTCACTGCAACCAAAGTTTTCACATCTTACATACATCAACTTCACAGACACACAGTGAAAAAAAGAAAAGCAATCCGTTTATATATCACATCTCAGTTTAATTTGTTTTTGTTCTTGTTCCGCAGGCATCGGACTTTTTAGCCATTTAACCCCTTCACCCCCCCAGGCGATTAAAGTTATTGCCGTTTTGGGATGGCGTTGCTCGCGGCAGATCAAAATCGCCAAGACAAACAGGCACATGGATTAATAGGGATTAAAAACGGTTATGGATTATGCTTTTTTTTTTTCCATAGCCTGACGTCACTTTTTTCGCCAAGATTTTTTTCAAGGGTTCAAAAATCATCGCGATGACACTCTCGACTTTTCTTTTTTTTTTAACATAAACGAACGTTGATGAGCAAAAACCGTTGAAAATAATGATCTGATCTGAAATTATGGGGGTTGTGTTTCTTTGTTGGAGAAGAGATGATGTAAAAAAACGTGGGAACAATAGCCACATCTCCACAGAATAGCATCATGGTTACGCCAAAGACTTGTCGAAAGTCTCCAGTACATGACGTCAAGTGAGTGTGATGACGGAGTAATAAAGTTCAAAATCAATGAATTATAAAGAAACCGAGCTTTCCGCTGTATGCCAATTGGCAAAAAGTCTATTCTCCAATCTCTAAGAGAAAAAAGAGCAAAGCATCAACCAACACCAAACGAAGGTCCACTTCAAACAAGTCAAAAAAGACACACAAACACACATCATGCCTCGCCAAGGAGACGGTTCAAGCGACAATGGCCCCTTTGAGGAGGCCGATCACAACATTGGCCACGGCGTCACCGAAGAAGATGTAAGTTTATCCTCAAATCGATTGAAAAACAACAGCAAGAAACCTGGTTCTAACAACTTGGTATATAGAACTCAAAGGACAAGACTGCGCCTCTGCCAGAGGGCCTGCACGAGAAAGGCGCTGGCCTTGAAGGCATGAACGCGAGCGGAGGACAGAGCCAAGGCATCAAGAAGGGCCCCAACGTTGGCCAGGGCGGAAGGGGAAGCACCAATTGATGGATGAAGATGACATGGAAATTGTAATATATATATATACATGGAACTTATCCTGACATTGAAGCGATGAAGAAATAAACCAAAAAAAAATCAAATAAAACAAAAAAAGATGACAACCAATCCATGATGCATTATACAAAGAAACCAACCCCCGGTCTATATCATATACATTATATATTATTTCATTCATGCTGGCCCAATGGCTCTCTCTTCACTCAGTCAAGCTCTTGTTCCATCGCTGGAAAAACTGATCCTTCCACGTCGGCATGCACCGCACCGTATCCGGAGGCCCCTCCCACTCGATCCTGTCGCTCCTCTCGTCGTGGTTGGCGACATTGTCCGACACGAAGCCTTTCAGCTTCTTGAGCTTCCGGCCGTTGGTGATGCTGTACTCGAGGTTGACGCTGGGGACGACCGCAATCTTGCCGTAGCCTCGCCACCACATGTCCTTGCAGAACAGCACGGGCTCGCCCTGGAAGCACTCGCCCGTCTTGTCGTAGTTTGTCCGGAACTTGAGGCCCTCGGCAATGGGCTGGGCGCTGAAGACGGTGGCGCCGTTCCAGCACGCAAAGGCCTGGAAAGGGCGCATCGATTCAAAGCGGGATTTCGTGTCCGGCGCGTTCCAAAAGAGGTTGTGAGCCTCGCCCCAGTTGCCGTTGGACGGGATGTGGAAGAAGGAGTCGCCGTTGATGCCTCGCGCGATCCAGACGTCGTAAAAGGTGGGATCGTCGCCCGAGTACGTCCAGTCCATGGCGCACGTCATGTCGGCGTTGAGCGTCTTCTTCTGCAGAATCAGCTCGAGGATGTCCTCGGGGCACGCCGCCACGTCGTTGAGGAAGATGACGCTGGCGTCGTCCGCCATGGGCAGCGTCCCCTGGTAGATGGGCTCCAGGGGCATGTTTCGCAGCGCGGCGAGCTTGGCGATGCGGTTGCCCTCGGCCGAGTGGACCGTGGACGAGTTGTAGATGTAAGTGACGCCCAGGGCCTCGAGGCTGGGCCGGAGGGCGGCGAGCACGTCTCCGGTGCCGTCGGGGGAGTCTCCCTCTACAATGGAGAGGGCACATGACTGAGGGCCGAGGAACTGGATGACCTCGACGATGCTGCCGATGAGACGGGGGAGTAGTTTGATGCAGTTTCTCAAGTCGAGGGCGAAGAAGTACCGGATCTCGACGTCGGGGTTTATGTGCGATAGTGAGCGAGGAAGAGCAGCGGGAGGAGTACTGGAAGGCGATGGTGATGACGGCGAGTCTGGTAGAGATGAAGCCAGCGATGAGTCTGAAGCTGAAGCTGAAGCTGAGGGTGAGGGCGAAGATGTGGACAGAGAGGAATGAGGCGATGAGGATAGCGGCAGAGAGGAAGACGAGGACGGATACGTCGAAGAGGATGGCACCGGAGGAGGCGAAGACGGTGCCGGTCGTTTCGGTGAAGGCTTTCCAGACTTGAGGGACTTGTAACGTGTCACGTTGAGGGCCGGGCATTCGAGATTGGCCAGCCTCGAGGTCGGCTTGACGCTATAGATGGCCTCGAGGTACTCGCTAATGTTTTCCGCCGGCAGGATTGCGCCTGGGACAGTTCAGGTCAGAGCCTCGTTCTCGTTCCCCCCCAATTGCACTGTGTCTGGTCTGCGCCGAGCTTTCTTTCCCTTACTTACCATTGTGTATAACCTCCTTGGAGAGCTGCTTGTAGGGGATCGGGCGTCTCTGCGAGCTGGGGAACCACGACAGGCGATCGCGCCCAATGTATAAGCTCCCAAGCAGCAGAAGAACTATAAACGGAGCCGCCACCAACGGCAACCTTGTTCTACGCATTTCAAGGGGGAAGAAAAGACTTGGCACCGCGAAAGAAGAAGAGAGGGTAAAGGGGGAGGAAAGATGTAAGAAACCCTTCTTCGACTTCTCGGGAGCAAAAGTGTTTTTGACGGAAAAAAAAGGCTTATTGGTTTAAAAAGGAAAAAAAGTCAAAAAACCAGAACAAGGGCGGCGTGTCCACGATAGGAGAAGAACAGGAACAAGTCCAGCCACAGGAGAGCTCCAAAAAAGAAGGGTTATGGCAGAGAGAGAGAGAGGCTGTGTAAGAATATCTGCTGCTTGACTGCTTTGATTTGGATCCTTCGGCTATCGGACAGCAAGGCGGTGGGTCGTCGATGTGGTGATAGTATTCGCAACTTCTCAAGTGCTTACTTTTTGCTCAACCGGATAGGATAGTACTCGTAATAGTAATATATGCGAGGAGTAATTAGGTCAGAGAACTGCGGCAGCATTTGCTTTTGCTTTTGCTTGTTGGGTTCCTTGCAAAAAAAAAAAAAAAAAAAGCCAAAGTGGACTCTGGGCCAGCGGATACGCCGGGCTGATACGAGGAAATTCCATGTCAAGCATCGCACGGCTTTTTATGCACCTGGCGAACCTTTGGGGATGGATGGACTGACTGACTTGAAGCGGAATAGGCCAATGCAGTGGACAGCTGCGAGACAAGACACGGTGTGACAGCATCTCGCTTCCTGCGCACTCGCATAGGAGGAGAGAGAAGCAGAAGCAGAAGCAGCAGAGCGAGGGGAGTGTTTTGTTCTGGCCCTTGTCTTGTCTTGCCTGTCTGTGATGCAACTCCTCCTCCTCCTCCTCCTCCTCCATCACCACCATCCTCCATCACCACCATCCTCCATCACCACCATCCTCCATCACCATCTCTTTTGCTTTTTTATTCACTCACCCTCAGGCAGCCCAGCTCGCAAATCTCGTATACCAACTAGCCCCAGAAAAAAGAAACCCTGGACACTTTCCCAACCATCTGGAACGGCCTCTCCAGCGGCAGGATACGAGATCAAGCTCAGGGCGATTGGCCGCCTCGAGCCGTGGGCAAGGGCTATTTGGCGTCAGGCTAAGCCCCCCACTGGTCAAGCCGAGCTGTCTCCAGAGCATGGGGCTTGGGGGGAAAAGACGCCACTTCAGCCCTTTTGTCCGCAGGTGCTACGGATATTACATGTGAATGAAACGGAAGGGGAAAAGAAAGAAGGAAGAAGAGATGGGAAAATAATCCGTGGGCTACGCGCGCATCAGGCACAGCACGGCGAGCAAGGGGTCTTTGTTGTCTTTTGGGCTTAGCCACACTTCAACTCTGTCGGACAATCTCGTGACAGCAGCGAAAAGGGCGGGCTAACTGTGGCGAGCTTCCATTCTCATCTCATTGTCATTGTCATTGTCATTGTCACTTCTCACGGTAACACGTTGTTTTTCCCACCACGAGAGGGCATGGCATCACATCACCTGTTGGAGGCGGATTGGTCGACGTTGGGGGGGGGGGCATCGTGGCAAGCTGTTGTTTATGCCGCACAATGGCTGAATGGACAGACAGACAGACAGACAGACAGACAGACAGAGAGAAACAGAGACAGCGAAAACGGGGTGCTGTTTGCGAATGTCTGAGATGCTAACGAGACCCTTGTCCGCTGTTATCGGGCAGACTAGCCCAGGACGGGAAGAACAAATGCTTGTTTTTTTCTCTTGGATACGAGGGGTGTAGAGGGTGTGGATCCAACCTTATGTACATACTGCCGTTCGAGTCAAAAGTTCACAAGTGCAAAAGGTTTGTCGGAGAGAGACATGAGATGGCGTCGTGACAAAAGGTCTATAGACATCAATTGGATCGATCGTTACATAACACTCAATCAGACGATTGATTGGTCTGGTGGTCTAGTGGTATGATTCTCGCTTAGGGAAAACCCTACAGCTGATATGCGAGAGGTCCCGGGTTCAATCCCCGGCCAGACCCTTTCTTTTTTTACTTCTTCTCTCTTTCTTCTCTTTTTCGTTCTTCCTTTCCAGCTGGGTGGGTTAGTTTAGCTGCGGCGATTGCCTCATTGGGTAAAAGATCTATAAAAAGCACCAGACTCCATCCGTACCTGTCAGTGCTCACTCATCCATCCCCATCCCGTACAAGGACGAATAAAAAGGCCAGCAGAAATTTCTCTCTTTGAGCTCGGCGGTTTTGCCCTTGTCAACCAGACGAACCAATCGTTCAACTCTTATCCGTCACTAGTTGCCGGCGATTGTCTCATCAATGCAGGTTATTAAATCATACAGGCAGGGGTGGAACAAAGGGTTATACGAGGTTGATACTATCTCGAGTTGATTCATTGCTACCCAACTAAACTCCCTCAGACCATGTGTATGCAAAGACTCATTGTTTTTTAAATTAATTTTCAATCAAAAAAAAAAAAACTCCCTCACTCATATCACAGTCTCCTTCGGCGGTTACTCGAAATGCTTCGGCCCCCGGACATGAAGTATCCGCGAGCTGCCCGCGGATACGAGTACACATGATGAGTCCGTCTCGTCGGCGCCTCTTGGCCCGCACCCGCGCGAGGCGGAACTCTCCCAGCTGCCGCTGCCGCAGATGAAGAAGAGCCCTGGCCAACCGCGGCATGAGTAGAAGTGGCAGCGTTGCTGTTGCTGTTGCTCCGGAATACGCGTGACTGTGACCGGCGCTGGACGTCTTCCAGCACGCGGATCCACGATCGAAAATGGCGGAGGTTTTCTTCCTCCTGGTGAAGCCTTCTGGTCGTGGCCACGATGCGCTCCGTGAGGCTGCGATAAGCAGCGGGCGTTGCCGTGGTGTTGTTGTTGTTGTTGTTGTTTGTGTTTGTGTTGTTTCGAGACGAAATGCCGTTGCCTTGCTGCCGGGTTTCGCCGCGTCTGTGCTGTCCGTGGCGGTGATGATGATGACGGTAATCTCGCCGAAGCTATACACATCAAATCTCATCATCAGTCATCCGAAACCACACTCTCAGCCAATGACTTCAATCAAATCTCATCAACAGCCCCAGAAACATCAATAACAAGCTTACATCTCTCTCCTCAGCCCTACGACCCCCTCCCACATACTCCGCCCTCCCCCTACGCAACAACGCATCTCGCCTCGCCCAACACGCCGAGCAATCGCTCAGGCACGCATCATCATCGTCGTCGTCGTCGTCTTCACCGCTGCTCTCAGAGCTAGAGCAGCTCGACGCACAGCTCGAGCAGCAGCACGTCGAGCCCGAATACTCGGACCCCGACTCCCGCTCCTCCGACACGAGCACGTACCCCGTCCTCATCGGGTCGCGACCAAGTCGTTGGAATCTAGCGCCGTGGTCGTAGTTTCTGCCGCTGCCCGTCATTTTTTATGAATAACAACTCTTGATGCAAAGTTAGTAGTCTTCGAGAATCGAAAAATAGGGGACAAGAAAAGGGGGACTGAAGAGTCTCTAGAGGCACGGTTCAAGGGCCAGCTGGATCTCCATCTACATCTGCGAATCTACAGCTCCCATCTCAGGGGTTTAGGCCTCTAAATAGCCATCAGCAAAAGTAACAAATACCCGATTACGACGCTACAAATGTTTGCGTTGCACTTCCTTCATCCCTCGGCAACATACACAACAACATGTAATACCTGTCATACGCCTACTCCCTTCAAGTCAGCCATCTATCTGTCCACAGTCACGCTCACTAGGAAACGCATAGCCAATATTTTCCATCCGTCTCTCATTAACTAATATCGTACTCATTATATAATGTAACATAACATCATCCCCCCTTAATCATGAACAATGGCAATCCCATATGATACAGAGCCTGCCTGCAGCTGATGACGACTTGCTACCGTCCTCCCCTCCCCTCCCCTCCCCTTCCCTTCCCCCTCCCCCCTTATCCCGATACCCAATTACACAAGACTGTCCCACAAACCTGTCGCAAAACGCCATGCTTCATCAATGTTTCCGCGCCTTCTCCTTCATTCGGCAGACGTCATTCGTGTTCCGGCAGCTTTACAGAAAGCCCTTGGTCATACTAGGAGCTCTGTTTAGGCTGCTGTTTCTTTGGGGAACATCAATGAGTGTCGAATCCTCACCTTCACTGCCAGTTCTCCAGGTGACGCCTCGGCCCCGGACACTTCCCACTGGCGCTGAGCCCTTCTCCATACGAAGGCCCTTCCACCCCTCCAGCTCTCGCTCCAGGCGGTGACACTTCTCTTTCTCTTCGCGCAATTCACGCTCGGCGCGACGAGCTGAGAGCTGGTTCGTCGACTCCGACGCTTGCAGCTCATCGATTGTCTTGAGAAGCTTGTCGACCCTGTCGCGCATGCGGTTCACGTCATCAGTAAGCTGAAGGTTTTGCTTATCCTTACGCTCAATCTGCGTCTGTAGATCCTTCACGTTACGATCCACGTTTCGAACAGAGCGCTGAGACTTGTTCTTTTCTTCTTCATGGCTGTCCAATTGCGATTCAAGCTGGCGCGTAGTTAGTATATACATACCGTAAATCTTTCTCGGGGGGAGGGAGTAGCCTACCTCTTGGATGCGCTTATGCAAAAACTTAATGTCCTGGCTGCCACTCGAATAGCCCTTAGTTTCAAGGTCTATCAGTTTGAGTTGTGCCTCGCTCAAGCTCTTCTCTAGAGACGTCTTCTGTTTCTGTAAGCCCGCAGCATTCTCGCGTTCAGCTGCCACGTCCTTCTGAATCTCAATGGCCAGTGCCTCAGCGCGTCGCATCTTCTCCACTGCGGCGAGAGCAATGTCCTCTTGTCGGGCAAGACTGGTCTTCAAGTTTAGGATTTCCTTGTCCATGCCCGCGGCGTCACGGAGTGATGGACTTCCACCCTTGACAAGCTCATCGTAACCTGCCTTGGCTTCTTCGAGACGAGCTTCGACGCCCTTCTTCTCCCGGATAAGGAGGTCGCGCTCGGTGGTGATTTCGTCCACGCTCGATCGAAGAGTCCTCACCTGCGACAACAGCGAAACGATCTTGCTTTGAGCCTCGTTATGCGCGCTGACTGCCTCATCACGCGACGAGGCCACGTCGACCAATGTAGATTCCAGTCGAGCCTTTTCCTTGGACCATGTTGAGCTGTTTAGCACCTCGTCATCCCACTTCGACCTAAGCTCATCAAGTTCTTCCCGAAGCCTAGTAATCTCCGCTTGCTTGAACAGCTTCTCTTCTCGAGCAAGGTCGAGCTCCTTGGCCAGGGTAGCAAACTCGGTTTGATACTTCTTGCGAGTTTGCTCCATGCTCGACTCCTTGTCCTCAATCTCCATGGCCCGTTGATTACGGTAGTCTTCCAGCTCGTGTTGAAGCCGCCTTCTGGCTTGCGTTGCAGCGTCCAAGTCGGTTGACAGGTCTTCCACCCTGCCCTCGAGGCGATGGTTTTGGCCTTGCAAATCTTCAATCAAAGCATCCATCCTTTGCCTCTCAGACATGACTTCAATGTAAGTTTCTTCTGCCTCCTTGGCCTGCGACTTGGCAAACTGCTCTGCTCTCGTCGCTTTCAAAACAGCGATTTCGGCCTGCTCAAGCTTGCTAAAGTACTCATCCGCTCGGCCCCTGTACATCTCTAGGCTGGAGGATACGTCGGCAAGCCTGGACGTCTCTGCATCGAGTCTGATCTGGAGGTCGGTGAAGTCTTGCAATAACTGACTTCGGCTTTGGGCCTCCTGCTCGCGTGCGGCAGTCATCTCCTGAAGGTCAGATTGTGAATCTCGGAGCTCGACTTCCAGTTTCGCCCGATCATGACGCATCTTGTCGAAATGAGCCTTCACTTCGGTGAGTTCAGCCACAGCATCCTTGTGGCTATGCAAAAGGGATCTGCGTGCTTCTTCTTGGCTATTGAAGATATCCAAAAGCTCCTCATGAGAGCGTGTTTGGATATCCCGCAGAGAGAGCTCACCAGCTCGCATGCTCTTCTCCAAAGCAGCCACTTTCTTAGTCGAATCGTCCAACATGTCATGAAGGCGATTGTTGGCCTTTTCAAGCTTCTGTACTCGCAGGATTGATGCTTCGTCTTCGTATGCATCATCAGATCCTGAGTTCCGATCAAGTTGGCTCTGGAGTTTTCGGTTCTGCATCTGAGCAAGCTGCAGCTGACTCTGGAGGTCCTCGATTTCTGCTTTTAGTTCGAACCCATTCCTGATATCAGATGCGCCAAAGCCTTTCTCAGACTGAGAAAGATCCTGGGAATTGGCATCATGGAAGCGCCGGCCAGCCCCCACGCCATTTGAATTGGAATGCAGGCCGGCCTTGCCAGACTTCTTCACCCCGGGAGACCCTTGGAAAGGCGCCTCGTTTGGATGCAACTCTCCAAGTCCTGGTCGGCTTGGGCTCTCATTTCTCAATGCCCTCATCTCATTCAACTGGCTTTCCGCATTCGTCCTGGCTACGCTTTGGACTCGCAGTTTCTGCTGTAGTTCCTCAACCATACGGACGAGGTCAAAGTTCTTGAGCAAAGCCTTCTCGTTACTGGAATTCGTCTGGGGGACTTGGACCTCGGGGTCAACCATTTTGAGTGCCTTGAGCATCTGAGATCTCATATCTTCCAGCTCCTTATCTCGTGAGTCTATGGATGCTTGCAACGTGCGTACTGTAGACTGTGTTTGGTTTCGCAGTTGTCGCTCCGACTCCACCAGTCGATTCGCTTCCGCCAGCTGGACGGTAAAGTTGGAAGAGGCCTTCTCCGCATTCCTACTAGCTTTCGCCTCCCTCGCAACCTCGTGATTAAGATCTTCTAGGTTGAGGTGAAGCTTCTCTAGCTTCTTCTCCAAAGTTGCAACGTTGAGCTGAGCATCGCCTAATTGTTTGTTCAGTTTTGCGTTTTGGTCTTCTAGCTTCGTCTTTTCTCCACGAAGGGACAGAAGCTGGCTCCGAGAGGCCTCTGTTGCGCGAGAGCTGGATCTAGCAATTTCGAGGCCCTTCTGCTGCAGCTTGTTGAGTAAAGTTTTGTTGTCGTTTTCTGACGCCGCAAGCCGACTCTTTACTGTGTTGAGCTCACGTTCCATTCTCTCCTTTGCCTGATCATTTTTCAACCCAAATTCTCCGGACGTGAGGATGAGCTTGTTGAGCTCCTCAACTTGGCGATTCAGCTTGTTGCATTCCTCTTCGAACCATTGGAGACGCTCTTGGGCGGCTTCGAGGTCTTTTCGAAGGCTGGCTTCTCTTTCGCGTGCCGCCTTCGAAGCTTGGCGTTCACCAGCCATCTCGGCCTGTAAACGAGCCTCTTCCGCTTCTGTTTTGGCCACGCGAAGCTTTCGAATCTCGTCTCTGGCCTCGTCCCGCTCTTTTTCGACCAAGGTTCGCGCCTCCATGGTTCGCCTCAAGGTATCTTGCTGGACATACATTTCCTTCTCGATGATGATCTTTGCGTCATTCAGGCGATCAAACTCATCCTTGAGCGCCTGGTACTTGTGCTCTCCGAGCAGTAGGACGTCATCTCGAGACTGTCGTTCTCTGCTGAGTTCCATTTTCGTCTGATAGAGCTCGTCCTGGAGATCCTTGATCTGAGACTCAAGAACTTTACGGTTCTTCTCAGCCTGCGCGTCCTCAGACAGCCGAGTTTCAAGCAAAACTTTGGCATCCTGTGCCTCGCGTTCTAGCTGTACTTGCTTGGACCTCAGCGCCACAAGTTCAGCTTGAACATCGCGGAATTTGGCAGCATTCTTCTCCATATCTTCCGTAAGAGCCCTCTTTTGCTCTTCGAGGCTTCGGCGCTCGGCTTCCGACTGCCGTTTATCATCGCGCAGCAATGCCAGCTCGCTTTCCTTGGATCGGACAAGGTCTTCGTAGTCTGTTGATGTTTTCGAAAGCTCCGCAAGTTGCTCGTGTACTTCTTGGTTCTCTCGAGTCAGGCGAACCTCTCGCACTTTGGCAGCGTCGAGATCTTTTTGCGCAGTGAACAGCTTGACTTCGAGATCTTGGTCCAGCTTGAGCAATTTATCCTCCAAATCCTTGGCTTTTCGATCTTTGAGAGCCAGTTGACTTTGGAGCATCTTGATTTCACCTTCCATAGCAGTCTCTTTGTCAGTATGCTCAGATTGTCTCCGAGATAGATCGTTGATGGCCGCCTCGAGCTCCGCTGCTTTGGCTGACAAGCGTGTCTTTTCCTCTTCGAGCCTAGAGATGAGGGAAGCCGCCTGTTCAAGTTGCGCACGATATTTCTCAACTTCCTGCTCTGCTCGGTTCTTTGCCTCCATCAGGTTGTCCAGCTGGTCTTCTAGTCTTTCTTGATCTTCGAGTGCGCCTGCTAACTTCTCTTCCAATTCATCCTCGCGATCTTGAAGTCGCATGAAAATCTCTTCCTTGTCCAAAGCAAGGGCGCGTTCGCTCTCCAGAGTTTTCTGGATGCGAGCAATCTCAGCTTGGCAATTCCTCCTTTCGTCCTCCAGTTTCTGGCGGCTCTCTAGCTCAAGACGCATCTTCTCACTTAGGTCTTTGATCATGGCATCTCGCTTCTTCACTTCGGCTGCAGTTCTAGTGGCGCCGAGGAGAGGCCTCATCTTTACAATGAGCTGCCACCATGGGTTTCCAACGAGATCGAGATATACCTGGAAGTTCCTCTGGATAATTCGGGTTGCTTCAGTACGGAAAAGCCGTTTATGGGCTGCGCGGCGGCGAATATATCCCCTAGCTACCGATTGAAATCGAGCCATAATCTGAGTAATGAGAGCATCGCGCTGCTCTTCCAATTCTGCTAAAAGGCCGGCTCGGAAGAAGACTTTTGTGAGACCAACACGGTACATGGTCTTGTCAAGACCGAGCCTCTCAAGCATAAGAGAGGCCACAACTTGGCCATCTGGATGGCCCTTTGGTACATCAGGACAAAGCACTTCGTATCGCTGGCGGAATTCGGTAAAGGGCAATCGATTGGGAAAGCCGGTTCGGGCAATTCGAATACCTTCCAACACACCGTTACATCGGAGCTGGTCCAAAACCAGTAATTTGTCAAACAGCTTCGGTCGCTTTTTGTAGTTGGGCAGTATACAACGAACGAAGTGAGGGTGTGTAGACTGAAGCTGAGACATCAAGTTGTGAAGCTGTTCTTTGTGCCTCTGGGCCACCGTTCGGAATAGGCCCTTTTTGACGCGGCTCCTCCGTCCGCCGTGATCATCATCGGAATCGGCACAGTCTACAAAAAGATTTGCAATGTGCTGATCAGTCGAAGCTGCCAACAAGCGCGTAATGTTGTTGTTTAGAGGATCTTTATTCTTTTCGAGCCAGTCCTCGGTGGAGTACTCGACTTCAGCAGCGTAGTGAGTGAGGATGAAGCCCTGGCCTAGCCGAGAGGGGCGGTATTTTGTAGACTTCTTGTCCCATAAAGAGTTCAGCTTCTCCGTGAAAGACTTATCGGTGGCTTTGGGCATGACGCAGTCTTCGTCCAGGCAAGAGAAAATTCCTATTGGATTTGGCAGCTCAATCAAATCGATAGTTGGTTGTAAATCCCGACCAAAATCAATGAATTGCCACTCGATTTGCTCGCGGGCATACTCCTCTTGTTCAAGGACAAACATGTGATGGTTGAAAAATTGCTGGAGCTTTTCGTTGGAATAGTTGATAAGCAGTTGCTCAAAGCTGTTCTTTTCAAAGATTTCGAAACCAGCAATATCAAGAACACCGATGAATCTAGAGTCTTCTAAACCCATGCCAGTACGGTCGAGTTGGCGATTGATTCGAGCTACAAGGTCACTAAATCCTCGCTCATATATACCCTTTGCGAGAGCGTCCAAGCTGAGTCGAACCTGCTCGGGAGTCTGAACCTTCTCAACCCATTCGCGTCCAGCCTTCACCTTGGGGTGTAACAGGCCTTGGAGGAACGGGTCGAGTGGCACACCAAGCAGCTTGCAAACCTTTGCAGCTTGTAATTTGGCATCCGAAGCCAGTCTAGCCTGGTCTGCACTCCGGCTCTCCTTGATAACATCAATGTTTCCCAGGTGCAGTACCGCGGCGATGGTGCTAAGAATTGACAGTTGATCTTGATTAGAGAAGCCGATAACTTCAAAGGCTTCCAGAAGCGCATTCCACTCCTCTTGGTCGGACACTCCAGCCACGCTATCGTGTCCGTTGCGAGTGTAGGCAAAATCACCGATATCCAGTCCATCCAAAAGCAGATCTCTTCTAAGTTTGGGATCTGCTCCCTTCAGAATTTGATAAAAAATGTGATAATTTCTCTCCTGCGCATTCACCCTCACGACTCTGGACTTTTCAAGGAGATACCAGTCGATAAACGCTCCAGTAATAGCGCCGTCTCGACTGAACTCGATTCGGATAAATTTACCAAATCGTGACGAGTTGTTGTTTCTCACAGTCTGAGCATTTCCAAACGCCTCTAGAATAGGGTTGGCGCGGAGAATTTGCTCCGAGAGGTTTGTGTGCTGGGATTGATTTTTGATCGGAGACTCGGATTGTGCAACTGCCGCCAAATACTGAATAACTTTTTTGGTGTTTTCTGTCTTTCCCGCACCAGATTCGCCAGTGACTAGAATACTCTGATTATAACCTTCTTCGACCAGATTGCGGAACGCCTCATCAGCCATGGCAAAGATGTGAGGCTTCGTATCGTCTCGGCTGCGACCTTTATACATGTTGACATAATCGTTGGAATAAATCGGCAAGGGGCAGTATGGATTGACGGTAACAAGAAAGAGGCCTGAATAAGTGTAGATGAGGTCTGATTGGTATCGCGTGTGCAGGTTGTGAACGACCGACGCCTCATTCAAATGGGTCAACTCGGCCATATCGTTTGCCTTGTCGAATTTGGCGGGGTTCACTTTATCAACACTCTCAGCATCAACTTCGCGTTGCTATATACCTTCGTTAGCAAAATTACGCATGCACATGCTGGAGAGATAACTTACAGCTCCATTATCAGTCTGCACCAAGATTTTGTTATCCTCTAATTCCTCAATGACCCAACCTTTCACGAAAGCTTCCTGAGGGTCCTTAAGCCAGACATATCGCTTGCCAGAAAAGTCGTTCTCGCCCTCAATGCTTTTGACAGCATCCTGGGCCTGCCTCAGGTCCTCTTCTTCCTTGATGAAGGAGGGGGCAAAGGTGTTTGTGTTTGAGCTCGTCCCAGCCCTTGAGTCGGTTCGACTGTGTCTTGATACTATGCCAGCTGGGACAATGGCTGTACCAAAGGAGCTGCTGGCTCGAGGCCGCGCAACCGAAGCTGTGGAGGCCGTAGAAGCTGTAGGTGGCGGTGTCGACACGCTGGGAGAGATCGTGGGCGAGGCGAAGAGAACAGACTTTGGCCTAGAGGAGGGCATTGCTTGTGAGGGAGAGGTGTTTCTCGCAAACGGATTGCTCCGCCGCGGCCCCGACCCATTAGGTGTGAAAGACATTGTTGATTATCGACCAAAGTTTCAAGACCAACTCATACCGATATGCTGCAAAGCAGTGGCGTTGATGTTGGCCCGTAACGTAACTTTCGGTCGCTGGATAGGAGGCGGCACAATGGAAACTTAGAGAGAGAACGAGGCGTTGCTAGTTGAATAGAAAAGAGAAAAAAGATAGTACAAGAAAGATGCACAGGCACTTTGGCCAAAATTAAAGCATCGGAAACGAGTATAGAAACACAATCAACAATGAGGTGCGGTGACAACTGGGGGAGCTCCGTAAATGTATACATCCATGCAGCTTACAGCACCTGGTTGCTGGGGCGAGACCCCGCGGAAGTAAACAGAGGCGCTGCACGTGACTCGAGCAATCGCGATAACAACGGTTATCAACGAACTAGTCCCAGGACAGAATAGCACGGTTTCCTCCACATCTAGCTGATCTCTTTTGCTCAGGCAAACGAAATTAACCTTTTTCATCCCACAAGGCTGGCAATCATCGCGTCAATACTCCCTCATTCGCGCTCTGCAAAAAGATATCTAGTCTAATGCGCCAGGCTTTTCCCATCCGTTTCGATAGTCGGGAATAATTTGGCTCTGGGTTTTTTTTTTCTTCCGTCCTGGTCAGGCGTCTCCGCTTCCGGTGTCGCTTGGTTCCTCCTGCCTGGATGAATCGTTTGTTGCCTCGACCTCGACCTCGATATCGATATCGACTTCCAAAGCAACCCCAACCAAGGGTCTCTACAAGCTATCAGCAACCCCCGCGCATGCGCTCACAATTAGCTCCAACACTTTCTCCCCCCTAGCAACGTCGCTTTGCTACTCATTGAGCTTATCAACGATGGCTCAATCAGGTTATGGGTACGACCCATTACATGGCTACCATCCACAGACTCAATATGCGCACCAGCCATATCCCTCTTACCCGGCCTCGACTCACAGTTATCCAAATGGCGCAGTGCAAAACATTGCACATGGCCAACCGGCCCCCAGAGACTCGTATAATCAGCACAACGTGATTCCCGGATTAGGCCTGAATTTTTCGCAAAATGCGGCACAGTGGCCAGCTTCCTGGGCAGGCCAGCCACATTCGTTCGGCCAGGCGCCCCCTGCTACTGAAGGAAATGGCCCTTCGCGGCAGGCCGATATGAGTGAGGAAGGTGAGGTCAGTGAAGGTGAAGTCGAGGACGCCTATGAGCCAAGAGACGCTGAGGTTGTCGCCGACGTGTCATATCAGCACGGAAATGGAGGTTACTCAGCTGAGTACGGTATTGCGCATGTCAGAAGAGTCGCTGTTGACCCGTCAGCCGCATTTTCTGCTGGTATGTTATTGCCTACTTCGTCTTAACAAATGTTTCTCCCAAGCTTGCTAACGAAGCATTAGGTCGAGATCGATCAGGTTCATATTCCCCGTACCTGTCCCCCCAGGAAATCGACCATCAAGCCATGGCTGATTCTCCTGATGGTGAGCATAACCAATACCAAGCATTGCAGAATCAATTCGGCGACTAATATTCAACATTAGAATCACACTCGACCAGTACTGCCCCTGCAAAAGCATCGCAGTTGTCTCCTAAAGTAAACGAACCGAACCATACCGCAGCCAACTCATCACCTGTCAAGAACGTTGCGGCGGCACGAAAACAAGCTCAAGATGCCATCTTGCGGCTTTGGCCATTAAACGTACGATATCAAAATTACATTGATGAGGGAATCGACGAGTCGCTATTGGGTGGCCTCTTTGAGGAGCTAGGATTTGCTACGGCTTCGCCAGGTAATATCACGGCTACCGATCCTAGCCATGAAAAAAGGGCAACGACAGGAACAAAAAACGAGACTCTACCCACCGGTAGCAACCAACGAGAATCCGACACTGGAGGGAAGCCTGCCAGCGCGCCGGTGAAAGACAAGTCAGAGGAGCGCAAGGATCGCATTGCGCGGCTCCTAGCTGCGAAAAGCTCAAAGCCAAGCACCTCATCGACCTCGGCTCCAATTCCTGCTCGTGCACCGGTCATAGTACCAGCTACAACGCCCTCTTCGCATACGCCAGTTCCAAGACAGCAAGGCTCGGCAAAATCACAGTCTGAGAAATCAAAGCTTTTATATTCGAAGATGGAGGCTCTGCGGAAAGCTCGTGAGCTTGAGGCGCGAGGACAAAAGCGTCCTCATCAAGACGTGCTCCCTCAAACCCACCAAGCAAAGGACAATGCTGATGGCTCTATGGCCACGGCCACAGCTTCCTTCGATACGTCCACCAACCGCATCCGATCTGCCTCGCAGGAGCATACGCCTGGCCAGAGCGAAAGCCCCAATGGGCAGTTTTCCCTTTCCATTCCTGGACTTTTTCTGTCCTCTACGCCACAGCCCGCGCACTTTGCACAAGTATCGAATTTAGAACGCCCGGCTTCTACAAGCGTGATGGATTCTAACCCGAGGCCATTTAAACGTCCTTTTGGGCAGACCAGAAGATCTCGTCCATTCCTCATTGATGTCAGCGACGATGAAGATGATGCCGAAATGGATATTGACTCTCCTGAGCAAAAGGTGGTATCGCTAACTACGAGGCCAAATCTGAAGACTTCTATGTCTCTGCGCAACATCCCATCAGCTGCAGGCAACCAGCAATATTCGAGCCCACTGACAACACCGCCTAGCAGTGGCAGTGACAATCATGCAAGACAGAACCTGGACAGCATGACCAAGAAGATTGAGGCCATGAAAAGAAGGATTGCAGAGGCTGAGGCCCGTAAGAAGGCAAAGCAATCGCAACCAGATTCACCGGCTCTACCAACATTGAATGATGATTCTCTCAATAGCAGTTTTGAGGCAGCCATTGCCAACAAGGATACGACTATACCTGTATCCTTATCTATTGAACCTAGAGAGCTTTCTCATTCGACACCCTCAGTATCGGGACCTTCCCCCAAGGTGCCGCATCAGTTATTAGATTCGAGCCCCCTGAGTGTAAACGAACGACGACGTAGTCGATCGCGTGCGGCAAGCGAGCGTCTTCCCGCTATTGAAGCTCGCCGTCGAGAGCAACAGCTAAAGCTGCAACTGTTACAGGCCCAAATGGCAAACATTCAACGCGAAATTGAACGAAGCCTAGAGGAAGAAGAGAAATTAAAGGAGGATGTTGACAATGAGTCGGACAGTGAGCAAACGCAAGAGCGGCAAGGTAAGCCCTAATATTCACGCTACAATACGATATTGATCTTGCTCTCAATACTAATCTCCTTGTCAGATGAAGCTCAGACTCCTTCTAAACCACCAAGTCCATCTTCTCCGCTAACAGACGCCATGGACATTGCAAGCACATCTCCTCAAAGCAATGATGCTTCTCAATATGGCCGAGAGGCTCCCGTACATCAAACCGAGAAATCGCGGGAGGAGCAACAGCCCGGTATGCTCATGATAGCTCAGGCTGGGCAAAATCTACCGACTGCTTCCCAAGCCGTCACCGCTACAGCTGTAGTCGCCGAGGACGCCAAGCAAGAGGCTGTTGAAAGCGCCATATCGACACACGACAGCAACATTACAGCAGCAGTAGATGAAGCGCAGGACATGGCCATGTCGGAAAGTGGCGATTTCGATAATGCAGACTCTGAAGACGGATCTGACGACTACGAGCCTCCAGATGTCGAATTGTCTGGCTCCTCAGGGAATCTTTCACGAGCGTCAACCCCTTTTAGCCCCGCACCGGCTGATCTAGTTTCAATCTCCGAAACGAGCCCCAATGACTTTCAAAGTCAAGATAATACGACAGATGCTATTGCCACGCAACAGATTTCGACCGTTCAACGGAATACAGCTTCTGAGAGTGGAAGAGAAGTAGACGTTGCCCTGCACGCGAAAGGCCGATCATTATATCTAATTGCTAATCAGGTTGACCAAGTAAGTGAGGCACTGACGGCTCCGGCCCCAGCCCCAGCCTCTAATACCCTCCAGACCACTTTTGTACCGTATGAATCGCCCCTTCGATACTTTCGCGCATATCGCTTCCATCCAGAGTATTCCCGATCCGTCGCTGGCGGTCTTCGCTCTTTAACATACAGCAATAAAATAGACGTGAAGCAGGAGATGTGCCCTGATGAGCTGGCCAACAGCAACTGCCCGAGGGGCAAAGAGTGCCACTATCAACATTTCGAGAGCATGCAAGCTCCGGGTATGTATATCTCAAGGCTCTTTTCAGCTGTTGTATAGAGAACACTGACATAAAAAACGATGATTAGATGACCAAATCCTCCTCCAGCTCGGCGCTCACGGCGACTTTGAGGAGCAGAAGAAACACGAGTATATCAACGGGCTGCGTCATCTCTTGACGGACTTTCGCAACCGCAAGGTCAAGGATTTTCAAACCATCAGCCAGGGCATTATTGACTACCGAGCCCAATTCCTCGGAGACAGGAGCAAGATTCTCCCTCTGGGCGGCGTTACGATTTGACGTGACATTGTCATGAACCCTATCCCATTTGCCCCCCTCCCCCCTAAGCCCCCCCTGGTGCGTAACTCTAACCGTTCTTCACATTCGTCTTGCGTAAGAGATTTAAGCCATCATATCCATTTCACAACATTAGCTGGCGTCGGAATCGGAGTTGCATCCAATGCCTCAGCCCCTGGGAAACCAACCATTGGGCTTGATGTTTTGCGTCTTTGCTTGACATGGATACCTGTCTGCTGCATTCAGCCAGTGCATGTTGTTTAGAACAGACATGTCTTTGATCGTGTCGATATACCTCTTCTACTATTTTTTTTTCTTTTCTTCTTTTCTGGTCAATTAGCCCCTTGTATGAGGCATCTCCTCATTACTTAGAAAGATTCGAGCCGTGGAGCGTGGCACGAACGAGAAAGAGTTGGGACACGAATGGTTTATCATATTGATGACTCTCTGCTATACAAGCGACTGGAGTCTCCATTTTATGAATGGTCACGGCGCTGCTGTTGAGCAGGTCATCGAATCAGTAGTATTTGAATTGACAGCGTGTTTGTTTTCATCTGATCCTGTGTGCCTTTCCTGCCTTGTGAAGTGTATGGATGAAGAAGATTGCTTTGGTATTTATTACTAGAGGTATATATTTTCAAGTGACACGGCTATAGACAGAAGTGGAATTCAATCCCCCATCAAAAGGTACGCCCAGACGATCGACACCAAACCCAACCCAAGTGCGAAATCATTGGAGACGAATAGGTATATCAAAGAAGAAGAAAAAAGGACGCCATTTAAATGATGTTTCAGCGAACTTGTAGAAAACGGGCGCTTATTCATCCCGTACGCCATCGACGACGTCGCCATTATTGGCAAGGCCACTTCCTCTACGGACACCGACGCCTTTTAGCTTCTCGACAGGCTGCTGGGCTTCCTCAGTCTTCTTTGAGGCGTCCTTGTCTGAGACGATCTGCACGTGTTGTTCTCGGGCGCGATGGCGCAGATTTTTGGCTTCTTCGCCTGAGGAGGACGCGATGATGGAGGTGTCGCTTTCGCTGCCCCTGTGCGGATGGGCGAGCGTGTATGCGGAGCCGGTGAGGCTCTCGTGGCGGACCATGTGATATCTGTCGTACTCCTCCTCGGTGTGCTCCGCGTCGGTGAAGCTGTTGAGGGCGTCGAAGACGTGCTGGAAGACTTGGCTGTCGACGTCGCGCGCCCACAGGAAGTCGAGGTGTTCATAGTGCGGGATCTCGGTGGCGACGGTCTGGCGCGGGAGTTCCTTGAGCATGGACTTGATGTCGACGAGGGAGTCGCTGCCTCCGTAGACGAGAACGACGGGGGTCTTGATGTTGCGGGTGGGATACTTTGCGACCTTTGAGTATTTGCTCGACGAAGCCAGGCTCATGGGCTGGTAGACGTCGTCGTCGTACATCTGGAAGCACTTGTTGCGGATGATCTGGAACCAGTGGACGACGCTCTTTGTGCTCGTGAAGGAGTACAGGTGAGGGTAGGCGGCCAGTTTCTGACTCGTGGAGATGTTCTTAGCGCGCCATCCAAAGAGGAACGACAGGCCCATGTCGATGAGGCGGCAGAACAAGGGCGGGTACAGGAGTGTCTCCCACATGGTGGCGGAGCTGAGGATGGAGCGTCTGCCAAACATGAGATAGAGGACCGATGGTGAGGCCTTGACCAGGGAATCGACGACGCCGTTTGACAGTCCGGCGGGTGCCATGGCAGGGGCGAGAGCAATAAAGACGTTGACTTGCTGGTTCAGCTTGGGATGGATGGCCAGAGCGGCGAATGCCTGAGCAGTTCCTTGCGAAAAGCCAATGTATGAGAGGCTCTCCTGTCCGGTCGTTTCGAGGATGTACTCGATGCTATTTGGAATATCGTGAAAGGCAAATTCATCAATGGAAAAGTCCCAAAACTCGACCGAGGTAGGCGAGCTGTGGATGGATTTCTTGGAGTATTTATTACCACGGTTGTTTCCAAACTTGATGGGTCATTAGCAAAGGGGCTATCGCCGCCATAAAACAGGACACGAATACCGACTTACCCAGACGTCAAAGCCTCTTTCTACAAGCTCAAATGGCAAGCATCTCTGCTCATCCGTCAGACAAACCCAGACTTCAGAATTCATCAGTAGGCCGTGGTGCAGGTAAGCAACGCGCTTCTTGGCGCTGTTTCGGCCGCAGTTGACTCTCTGGCCCTCCTCTCCTCTTCGCCACTGCAGACGATGCAACCCCAGCAGATACCCATCCTTTGTCTGAACTATGTGTTCTTCGGCTTCGTACCCCCACAGCTGGCACATTTCAACGAAATCGGACGCATCGCGCACGGAGGTGGAAACGGCTGAGAGAAGTGTCAGTCAAGAATATGTAAAGGAGGAAAGGCACACGCCGAGGGTTTCATCGGACATGGGAGAACCAACATTTCTTCTTGCTCTCCGCTTTCTTCTGCGCCGGAGAGGAAAATACGTTGAACAATCGTCGCGAAGCTCGGTAGAAGAAGGTGACCAGGAACGAGGCTAGATGTAAAGGGGTAAGCAAGTTGTCGCCGCCGTTGGAAGGCTGGTTGGTACTAACGCAATGCCAGTGTCAGGACTCGAATGATCGCTTCGAGGCCGACGAGGAAGAAGGAAACGACGATTGAAATGTATTCGGTGCTGTACACGGCCATGATGAGTAAACGGCGATAACCTTTGCAGACGTCTACCTAGTAGGTAAGAGACGATACATACGCATGCAGCCTACCGATAAATGGGAGAGGCATTGTGAGGAGAGAACGGGGCCTCGCTTAGTTCCAGTTGTGCTATGAGGATCGTTCCATTATCACCTCGTGCTAGCAAGGCAACGCGAGTCGAAAAGAAAAGAGAAAAAAAATTGAGGAAGCGAAATTAGGAATCTGGGAAGAAAGTTGCGGCAGGATCTAGTAAATCTAGGGGATCGCCGCCAAAGTGATGTCACATGTAAATCTCCCAAAGGGTCAGGTGGGCCCTTTTCGATGGCCTTACCCTGGAGAAAGCTGGGGGAAGAAGGTGGTGAAAGGATTGGGCCAACCAGAGAGGCTGTACGAGGTCGGAAATGGGGATGATTGGCTCGGTTTTGCTTGGATGTAACGTGGAAGAGTGAGTTGGCAAGTTTAGTGTTGGATTAGGACCGGATAAAGGAATTGTGGCGGATGCAGCTTATGACGTTTGAGTTGCCTTATGGTTTAATGTGGGAGTATGGGGCATGATGTATTCGGCAGTTGATTGATATGAGATGCACGCCATGTAACCTTTAGGCCTACCACATTCAAGATAGACATAGTATCCACTGCGTATCACGTATGATACAGCCTTTGCCAAATCGTAAAAACCATCGTAAAATGGAAGAGAAAACACTAAAACCTGGGGGTTAGCCATCAATATTATCACGGGCATCCCAAACTCAGCTGTGGGGGGCGCCAAAGTCAATCGATGCTTAGTAGCTGCAGCCCACAACCCACCAATCAAACTTCAACCCCACGGACAGCCTTTTGAAGCTTCATCGAACGACTTTTTTAGAAGAGGCAGCCTCGCTCAAAGATCCACAAAGACAACACCCAAGAATCTGCATCTATACACTGCGCGCATATCGCCAACATGCCCAACTCGTGCCAGGAACTCCGTATGTCTCCCTCCCTACCGCCAGCCAGCCTCAACCCATGCCAAAGCACAACCCGCTGATAAATACACACAGGCGATGCCCTCGCGCAGTGCCTCCAGGAATCCGACTGCGTCATGATCTACCGCAACAAGGCCTCCGACTGCCTCCGCGAGCCCCTGTCGTCGACCCTCCCGACCAAGTGCCAGCAGCTCAAGAAGGGCTACGGCGAGTGCAAGCGCGGCCTGGTCGACATGCGGAAGCGCTTCCGAGGGAACATGCCCGTGACGTATCGGTCGGTGGAGGCTTCGGAGCAGGGCAAGGGATACCAGCTGTACGCGGGCAAGTCTGCGTTTGGAGGCGGCGTCAAGGAGACGGACGGCAATGAGCCGATTCCGCAGGATTGGAGGGAGGCCGAGAATGAAAAGTACCGGCTGGAGCAGCAGAGGCTGGCGCAGAGCGGGAAATAAAGAGACGGACGAGGTTTGAATGAGGAAAGGAATTAAAAAACGAGGGAACAGAAAGACAGAGGAGGGGGAACGAAAGAGTGAAGCGAATTATGGTGCATGGTATGGCGTTTTCGGCGTTGAACTGGGAGCAACTCATCTCTGATGCTTGCGATATGGGGGATTGATCAATTGGGGAACACACGGATAGAGGGAAAGGAGGTGGGCAATCTCTGTATCTTTGATAGAGTCTGTGTGTATATATATGCTGCTACATGGTCCCCGAACAGGATGATGGAGGCCTTGGTGATGAAATGAACTGTATATTATGGAGGAATCTCAAAGACTCGTTTCAAATTTATAACCATCACTCTTTCAACAACAGGCCGCAGCATCTACATCTACCCCTCTTGTCCCATCTCACATGCAAACCTCCCGTCCTTTATTTACCTATGCAATCAATATGCATCTCTCCTTGCAAACCAACTGCCGCAATCCACGCAATGCCTCCCGTCGGATCGGCGTTTCCCCAACCGCCGTCTCACGTGTCGAGCGTTGCCGGTATCCGTGATTCCCAACGGCTAGCCCAATCACTAAGACGCAGCTAAGAAAGGAGGAAATGGGATGGAAGCAGAAAAGGGAGAAAGAGAAAGAGAGAGTCTATAGGATCGTGTCGTTCTGCAGTTTGTGTTTCCTTTGTTCTTTACCAATTGGTAATATCAACCAATCAATCTGCTTGCTATAGATAGGTAATTTCCGATACTGGGATCCGTGTAATTCGTCCATACCTAGCATCTAGTTAAAACAGCACGCGCCGCTGCCCGCAGCGAAACAGTGGAAGCATGCAAGCTCCGAGGGATTCCAATCCAAGCGCCTTGGCATTTCAGCTGTTGTCGTCATCACAGCAACCCACCCATAGAAACACAAGTCGCAGATTGCGGTAGAGCAGCACGAGACACAGTTTGTCTGTCCGCACGTATAAAGTAAACGCCGGCCCTTGCAGCACAAAGTACCTGCTAAATTACCCATCTCTAATAAAAGTTACGCGTCCTGCCAGATAAGAGAAACAAACTTCTGGGCTGTGCTGAGGAGAAAGAATATACCTACGTAGCTGGGCTCTCCTCTCGGTAGTCTCACCTGTTTAAAATTACCTAGTATTTTCCCTTGCCTTGCCTTGCTTCCTCTCCCATCTTTGATTCCAAGTCGCGACCCTTTCTCCAATTCCAAAATTCGTCAATTTGAATCCAACTGAATGGCTTCAATATCCCGGTGATCTAGTCCTTTTTTACTTGTCCTACTACCCCTTCACACTGGACCAAAAACAGCCACCACCACCACCATCGCCATCATCAACAACAACAACAACAACAACAACAAAACGTCACCGGCCACAGCGCCTCTCGCCACCCATGGCCCACCAAACTCATCGTCGACTCTTGATAGCTGCCGCCGTCTTCTTCCTCATCACCAGCTCCTACCTCTGCGCCACGCGCCTCTACAACGCATCCTTCGTCCGCGGCGCCAAGGACGACAAGGCAAAGGCCTCTCCCTCCCCGCCAAAGCCCGTCCACGTCCACCTCACCGACGCCGACCTGTCCATGACGTACGGCTCGTTCCGCCGCCCCGGCATGGACGGCCTCACGCTCGTGGCGAATCTACCCTCGGAGCTCGTGCCGACGTTTGAGAACAAGCGCCGGCTCGTCATTGTCGGCGACATCCACGGCATGGACGCCGTGCTGGAGAAGCTGCTGAACAAGGTCGGCTTCGACGGCGCCCGGGACCACCTCATCGCCGCGGGCGACATGATCAACAAGGGCCCGGACTCGCCCGGCGTCGTATCGCGCCTGATGCGCCTCAACGCCAGCGCCGTGCGCGGCAACCACGAGGACCGCATCCTGCTGTCGCTGGCCGAGGCCGAGTCCCAGACCGGCGTCAGCAAGGGCCTGTCGTCCGCCGACGCCGAATCCCACCGCGGCGAGGCCGAGTTCCTTGCCACGGGCCGCAAGCTGAGCAAGGAGCACGTCCGGTGGCTGGCCGAGCTCCCCATCATCCTCGCCGTCGAGCCGCTGCGCATGTACGTCGCCCACGCCGGCCTCGTCCCGGGCGTGCGGCCGGAGCTGCAGGATCCCTGGGCCGTCATGAACATGCGCACCCTCATCTACCCCCGCGAAGATATGCGCAAGAAGGACCTGAAGAAGAAATCCGAGACGAAGCGCGACTCCTCAGCTAACGACAACAACAACAACGACAGCACCTCGGACGAAGCACCCCAATCACCTCCTCCCACCGACAACAACAACAACAACAACAGCAACAACAACACCGAATCGGAAAAAGAAGCAGAAGAAGAAGAACAAGGCGAGACGCTCGAGTCGATTGCCCAAAAGGACGCCTACACGGACCGCGAAGTCGCCATCCCCGTCGAAGGCCGCGACGGCGAGAAGTGGGCCAACGCATGGAACCGCTTCCAGAAGCGCCTCAAGAAGTCGCACCGCTACACCGTCGTCTACGGCCACGACGCCAAGCGCGGGTTCCGCCAGGAGCGCTACACGTTTGGCCTCGACTCGGGCTGCGTCCGGGGCGGCGCCCTGACGGCGCTCCTGGTCGAGGGCAAGGAGGGCGGCAAGGGCGGGTTTACGCATACCGTGATGCAGGTCAACTGCGAGTGATGCGACCTTCTTGAATCTTCACTGTTTCTGTTTCGAGAGAGACTTGTATATGGCATGTTTTTGGAGCTTGACGATTGGTTTTTACTTGTTTTCGAGAGGGGGGTATAATGACTTTTTGATGGGTAGAAATGGTTCTTGGATCCCTGATGGTGTATCGTCTCTGCTGGGCTGATATACTTGGCATCTTGGACGAGGGCAGCACTGTCGGCGTTTTCTCTTCCTTCTCCTTGTTTCCCGTCTTTTTGAACATTTCTTGCGAGGGTTGGCTGTAAGATACCTGTGGACATGGATACCACATACTGTTTTTCACTATTAAGCATGTCACTTAGCAGACATGATATAGCGCAATATAACATGAATTCGATCAAGTTACCATCATATAATGAACACTTAATTGGTATTACAATCGTTTTTCTTTTCTTTTTCTTGGTATTTAAAAAGAATCCATCTCGGACATAAGATACATAACCACGGGCCGCCAGCCACATTTTAGGACCCTCTGCATTTTTGTTTTCAACAATCAAAAAAACATGGCATCGCAAATTATCGCACACACACATACACCCCTTACCGCTCACGCATCCAGCTTAAGCAGACAGCTTCTGCTTAAGAATGTCCTTGAGGGTGACGGCATCGGCAGCGAACTTGCTGATACCCTCACGCAGCTTCTCGACGGCCATCTGGTCCTCGTTGAAGTCGAATCGGAAGAGGGACTCGTCGTTGATGTAGGACTTCTTCTCAATGTCCAGAGCGGCAGCAGAGGCGCCGTCGAGCTTCTTGGGGACGGCCTCGTTGGAGTTGAGGAGGTCCTCGAGCAGGTTGGGCTGTTGAAAGAGAAATGACATGTTAGCTATTGAAAAGTTGTCTCGTCAGGGGGAGTGCTCTTACAGAGATGGTCAGGTAGTCACAGCCAGCGAGCTCGGTGATCTCGCCAGTGTTTCGGAACGAGGCACCCATGACAATGGTCTTGTAGCCGAACTTCTTGTAGTAGTTGAAGATGGCCTTGACGGAGGCGACACCGGGGTCCTGCTCCTTGGCGTAGTCCTTCTTGGTGCTGGCCTTGAACCAATCAAGGATACGGCCGACAAAGGGGGAGATGAGGAAGGCACCGGCCTCAGCAGCGCCGATGGCCTGGGGGAGAGAGAACATGAGGGTCAGGTTGCAGTTGATGCCGTGGTCGCGCTGCAGGATCTCAGCGGCCTTGATGCCCTCCCAGGTGGAGGCAATCTTGATGAGGACGCGCTCCTTGGGAATGCCGAGGTCCTTGTAGAGCTATAATTCGGTGGCAATGCGGTTAGCTCACTCTCTGGTCGTACAGTCTGAAAGTCTATTTCAAAAGCTCACCTCGATGATGTGCAGGGCCTTGTCGACGGAGGCCTTGGTGTCGAAGGAGAATCGGGCATCAACCTCGGTGGAGACCTTGCCGGGGACGATGGCGAGAATCTCCTTGCCGAACTCGACCAGCAGGCGGTCGAGAGCAGCGTCCACCTGGTGGTCGAGGTCACCGCCCTTGCCCTTGGCGTAGTCGATGGCGACATCTATCAGCTTGGCGTACTCGGGCTTCTTGGAGGCAGCCAGGATGAGGGAGGGGTTGGTGGTGGCATCCTGAGGCTTGTACTTGGCAATGGCTGTGAAGACGCATCTCCAGGTCAGCTTTTGTTTTGCGCTCGAACTTCAAGTCGGGAGAGGGGGGATAGCATTGCTGCTACTGCTGATACCAGCCAAAAGCAGCCTTGAATTCTCAATGATGATGGAGAAAGGGAGGGAGCAACTAACCGGCAAAGTCACCTGTGAGAAGCAGTTGGTTAGCTGATGCATCATCGGATGTTTGGGGGGCGGATGGTGCGGGAATTTACCAGTGTCAGAAACGACAACCTGTTTGTCGCCAAAAGAAAATCAATTGTCAGCACGCGATCCGATGATAGCAACCAAGAGCCATTGACTGCCGCCGAGCGTTGTCGGTCAATGAAGCTGCGTTGCCGAGCTTCAAGGCCAGCAAAGAAACCGGGCGTCTGAAGCTCGCAAAGCAATTTCGCCCCTCGTTTGGAGGGGTACAGTTGCAGTTGGCAGTGGGAGCAGACATCGCTTTTCTAGAGGGCATCACGTCGAAGGAGCAAGCTCGGCAGATTTGCGAAGATCTAGCACCCACTCCTGTGATGTATAACAATGTCCCTGGGGGGTTGTCTCCCGACTTGTCGACCCATGAGGCTAAAGAGCTGGGCTTCAAACTCATTATATATCCTGGGCTATGTCTTGAACCTGTTTTCGAAGGCGTGACAAGGGCCATGGAAGGGTTGAAGAAGGATGGCGCTCCTCCAAAGTCTGGGCAAGATCGAAAGGGGTCGCCCAAGGCGTTGTTTGAGGTGGTTGGACTGCGCGAGTGTATTGGGCTCGATGCCGCTGCTGGCGGTGCATCATATAGCGGAGGCGTATGAGGCTCTTCAATTGAACTGTATTGAAGAAGAAGATAGTACTTTCTTTCTCCTTCCTGGCTGTCCTATTGCCCGCCAATCCATTGTCTCGAGTAATATCGGCATGTTTCCACACGACAGTGACCACACGTACTTGCTATTATAGTAAATATCGTCAATGCAGATATCTTGCTACTTTAAACTTAAGTACATAGGTAAATATCTGCAGTTCCAGGTTGTTTGAAGGAATTGAGATAGACCTGGTACTTGCACGTACTGTCTGTCATGTCGCTCCTTCACGCCTGCCAGTTCTCCTGTCGTTACTCTCCATACTGCACTTTTCTTTTCTGCCAATCTGTTATTCCGTTCTCTCCTCCTTCACAGCCTTCTTTGTCTATCATTGTTCAGCATTCTACACTACCATCTCTATACAATATCAAGCCTCCAGTCGACGACATCAAAGTGTGCACGCCAGAATGATCCATCTCCCAGGCGAAATCATCGTGAAGATTCTAAGCGACGAATGCATCAGTAAGCCGGACCTCAAAAATCTCCGTCTCTCTTCGAAATGGCTTTCACCATTCGCTGCCGACCTCTTGTTCTCCAGAATCTACATTTCGAAGCTCAAATCTGACCGCGAATCCTTCTTCAACATCGCGGCCCAACCGCATCTTGCAGCGGCTGTCCAGACTGTGACATGGCTGGAGATGCTGGAAGATGAGTCCTCGTTCAACCATGATGACAGCGGTTGGGGTGACCGAGACGTCGTTGACAGCTGCTTCTTTTCTCGTTTACGGTCCATGGCGCGTGCATTATTCTGGATACCAATTCAGTGTTACTTTGCGCAAGACTACAGCTCCCAAGACGGGGACAGAGATGAGCAGAGAGCTGAAGCAATCCAGGCTTTTAAACCGACTTTCTTCGACGCACTCGACAGAATGCCTAAGCTGAAAGAACTCACCTCTCAGCCAATGCCTCCCCAACGTGAATTTGTCAAGCCATCCGAACTATGGCCGCCACCGTATCCATTCACGTGTCAGATGTTTCTTCGAGCCGATTACTCCGTCGGAGGTGACTGTCGTAACGATGGATTCTGTACCTTTCTGATCCCATACATGGCCCATAGAGCTGATCTACCTACTCTGGACCCCATCACAAGGCTCCGTCTCGTCGACGAATCCACGGAGACATGCGCTGAGAGATTCGATGCAACTCTTCTCAAAGGCTTTCAGAATCTGACGCACCTAGATCTTTGCATCTCTACTGACCGTGTGGACGGACCATTCTGGTGGCTAGGCCAATGCTTCCAAATAGCAACGGCACTTGAGAAAGTGCGGTTATGTTTCGAACGTTGTCGAATCCGCCCTACTCAGGCGCGGAACTACTTCAAATCCTTTTCCCCAGTTTTTTGCACACATTCCAGTCTCCGCACACTGATGCTGGTAGATATGCCCTTGACACTTGACGTATATAGATTCATCAGAGGAGCGGCTAGTTCGCTGAAAACCCTTAGATTTGAGAACACTGATGTGACCGTTATGTTTCTGGAAATGTTGTTCAATGTTCCCGACCTACGGCTGGAGCACTTCATGTCGTTATCAGACAAAGAACCCTGGGAGAAGGATGACGACGACGAGATGGCGGGCCTGCTACTGACAGAGGAGCAAGTTTTGGATATTCTCAGCGGAACTAATACCGAGTTCTTCCTCCACTGGCTCCTCAACGATGGGGACCTTCGGGTATATACCCACTACCGTGGGCCTCGCATACGGGAACCATCATTCTTTGACAGTCACCATCGTGTTACAAGTCAAGACGGGATTGAGGAATTTCAGCTGATAGAATGGATGCCCTCTGGTATTGAAGACGCAGAAAATTATGATGCTGATGGTTACGATGACGCAGAAGTGGATATTGAAGAGGACGGCAGCTCCGAGGAAGATGAAGAGGACGGCAGCTCCGAGGAAGATGACGATGACGGAGATGTAGATACGACCAATACGTGGATACGACCGACACCGATGTTGTCTCAACGACGGCTACCGATGTTGCCTCAACGACACATACTGGTGGTTTATCAAGGACGGATAGTGATGTTGTCTCAACGACGGATACGGATGATGTCTCGACAACGGATACCGATGCTGCCTCGGAGACGGATGACGATCTGATGGACTTTTACGCTAACTTACTCGAAAATAGCGGTGGCTCTTAGATCGATGACTCGGCCAGCACCGGCGATTAACGGGGGGAATATACAACAGAGGCCCCTATATAAGATGCTTGTATCTGTATCTGGGGTACGATGGTTCGGAAACGGCAGAGTTGCACACGAGAACCATACTCGAAACTATACCCAGGACACTGTGGACTACTCTTTTTGATTTTGTTATGGAATATGCTTTTGGGAGGAGAGATGTATGTGTCTGAAGACGTCTGTGAAGACACGCTACCTGGATCTGCCGATGACAAGTAAATGGAGTTGAGAGTGCTTCGAGAGGCGCTTCTACGCCACTGCACAAACACCGGTGATACAAGGGCATAAGCAAGTTCGCGACGGCGATCGAAATCGACGGCCCTGTGAGACACTAATTTAATATATCCAATCGATTGCGGATGCCCGGCATCAAGTTTCACAATCTTGAGCTGAGATGACAGCTTTGCTTACTCTCTATCGCGGTGGCTGGCTGAGCAGCCAATGACGAGCTCCTGAGCGCATCACCACTCCGGCGAGCAGCTTCGGCATTGCAATGTTAGCGGATGCACTAGCCATGTCAAGATGGAATCATTCTAAGGCGGTGCTGTCAATGGTTTCAGATGGCGTGAAGCTTAATGCGTTGGCCGACGGATCCAACACACTGGTTGTTTCTCCGAAGCGGAATATTGGAACGGCCGTGCGGTCCGAATACTTGTGTTGGTAGTGCCAAATTTCCATAGAGAACAGTTTTTTATCAAGTCAATTTCATCTTGTTTCACCAAAATTATTCGTTCGCTCAGTTGGTGAGAGCAGGACTCGTTCACGTCGTCGGCGAATCGCAGTCGCTCTCAATGTCCAGGGTCTGGGTGACGCAATAGCAGGCATAAGCCTCACAAAGACGTCGAATCGATGGCGATATGGGCGCTTGAAATCCCCCTTTGAACGCGTCATGGCCTCTCTGGGACCTCCACCGCCTGGGATCGACCTCCAGGCGAGCAGAGCGGGTAATCTGGTTGCAACATGGGCATCGACATGGGGTTTGGCGGTGGCGGCGGTTATTCTGCGTGTGGTGTGTAGGAAGCTGGCAAAGATTTGGTTTTGGTTGGACGATTGGTTCATTATCGTTTCTTTGGTACGCGTCATCCCGCTCTATCTACGCTGTGGTGATGTATGGAAGATGTGTTGACGCGAGGTGCTAAATACTATTAGCTGTTTTCTGGCGGATTCACTTTTACAGTCACTATCTACAGTAAGTTTCTATTGATGAAGTTTACTACATCACTGTTTACATGGAGGCGTTTCATGGCTAATGCTCTCTGGCAGTGGTGAACAACGGGTTCTGCAAGCATATATGGGCTGGCCCACCAGATGCTACTCGAGATTGGGCGCTGGGACTGTTCACGACGGAGTTTACCTACACTTTCAGCCTCATGTTGATCAAGTTTTCGATTCTGGCTTTTTACTGGAGAATCTTTAGCGTCCAATTTATAGACAAGCTGCTGCTTTGGGTCTTGGCCGGGATGGTTGCTTGCTGGACGATTGCGTCTGTATGGCCCCCTCTTCTGTACCTCAAGACATTTCTGGGTATTCTGTGGGAATTGAGGGCTGATTTTATTGGCAGATTCTTACTTCGGCGTTTCAATGTGTACCGATATCTGCTCTTTGGCAGCAGTTTGACCCTGTTCATCCGACGGATCCATCGACGTTTACGTGCGGCGTCGACATTCACAAGCTTTTCATCGGAAAGACGGTTCCTCATATTATTACCGATATGCTCATTCTGCTGTTCCCGGTGCCGTATATCTGGGGCTTGCATTTACGCATGTCGCAGAAGGTTGCGACTGCGTGTGTCTTTATGCTGGGTATCTTGTGAGTTTCGCTGCCTTCTTTGCACGAGGCCAAGTCTCATTGTGTATCGCAGTGTCCTCGTTGTGTCTATTGTGCGATTCGTGTTCGTGCTCGAGCTAGACTTGTCGTCTGAAGATGTTACGTGGGATGAATGCACGGAGATGAAATGGACTGGGGTTGAAGTGAATATTGGTACCGTTTGTGGTATGTCTTGCCGCTACTATTTCTCAACGCAATTGTTGGCTGATACAATGGTAGCTTGTCTTCCATCCTTGAAACCGTTGTTGAATCTTGTCCTGTATGGAAGAATTCACCCAAAGTCGCATAGGCCGAGTGTAACAGATGCACACACTTTACTTGAGATTGCGGAAGCGACGAAACGGCGATATCGGCGCCCATCGGGTGCAAATGTCTCGAGCGCATATATATTTGCGTCGATGAGGGGAGCGATGGATGATCCGGATATATTTGAACGACTTTCGGGGAGTGAAGTTGCGAGCGAAGTTGCGACTACAGCGGATACTACGCCGGGTATTGAGATGGAGAATACCAGAGATATTTCCAAGGAAACTGGTTGAGAGAAGGTCCTAACTTAAGCAGTATATTGTTATGTGCACCAGTGTGTGCAAATACTCTCGATTCTTTAAGATTGCTTCTGCTATCTAGAGTATCGAGGGAAAACGCTTCATGTGAGACTGGATACGCTGTAAGGGTCAGTTACTCTACCCACAGACGCATTATAAGCGTTTTGGTGCTTATATTACAGTCTCACTGACTATTCCACCAGATGCCAGAATATTTACTCAATTGCGGATAAACAAAAAAAAATGAAACTCTTTATCCGGAGCAATGGGGTCTAAATACCGACAATGCTCCTTTCCGAGATAATAAAGGGAATAGCTACTCGGCACCCCAAGTCAATTATCCAGCACCTCAGCGACCGTATAGAATGTAAGAAGGAGCAGGATGTAAAGGAAACCTATTCGTTTACTGTTACAAATATTTGAACAAGTACTCGTAAATGCCTGATTCTACAAGTATCTGCCACTGTTACCACTTGCTGCTACTATGGCTATATTTCTCTGGTATCTGGAATCTTCATTAGCTTCATATTGGTGAAAAGGGTTACTGGACAGCAAACTTGGTGTGCTTGATGGCCATGTCCTTTATGAAGCAGCAATGATGCCGCTCAAAAAAAGATTCTCACATATTTGACAATGGCGCTGCATCTGCAGTAAGCAGCCTATTAAAGAGGGCCGCACCGTGGCGAAGCATCTCGTTTCAGATGTCGCCGCCGAATTCGCTGTTTTGCGGGGTTGTTAACCATGAACTCTCTCTCTCTGTGTGTGTGCTTACTCTTCAAACAATCGACACATGATGAGTTCTCCCGCGGAGCCTCACTCATGCGAACTGTGCGAATCAAGACTTATTCTCACCTTTGGCAACTACTATTCCGATCAGGGCTGGTACGAGCTCATAGACGAAAACTATTTCGCTACGGGAGAAGCATATGTCTTTAATATCGCGTATGACGAGGCGGTTTTGCTGGCAGACCAAGGATGCGAATTGTTCGAATGGCTTGTTACGTTGCGACGAGACGATACACACTCTGAGAGCTATCTGAGGGCGTATTTCGCGCATAACTCGAGGGAGCAGATGGTGCTGGACTGGGTGGATGAGTTGGGCGATCACATTGATGGGGGGACGCTGGAGCGGAAACTGATTGTTTGTGCGGAAAAGAGGTGAGGCCTCAACTTATGCTGGGAAGGGTTTACGACAAAGGCTGATGATGAGAAGTGAATTGGCGGCAGAAGAGGTTGCATATAGGCCTCCTAATCTATTCCCGGCGTCCAAAGAGACTGTGGAAACAATCAAGAGCTGGCTGCAGGAATGCTTTACAACACATGCTGAATGCCAGCAGCTTCAGAATAGTAACCGGCCTTCTGACGCATCATCACCGGGTCCTCGGCGCCTCTTACACCTCTCCGGAAAAGCTGCGCATCCCCGAGTAAGACTTCGAGAAAACTCATCCACTAGCAATTTCGTCGAATATGCCGCATTGAGCTACTGCTGGGGAGGAGATCAACCGGTGAAACTCAAGGAGAGTATTGTCAAGTCATGGATGACAGACATCCCGTACGACCAGTTTCCTCAGACAATTAAAGATGCCATTCAGGTAGCAATGGCTCTGGACCTAGAGTATCTCTGGGTTGACGCTTTGTGCATCATACAAGATTCGAATCCGGACAAGGCGGAGCAAATATCACGCATGGCTGAGATTTACGAGCAGGCATATATAACGATTTCAGCGGCCAGCGCGACTGCTGTGCCTGAAGGCTTCCTCCACGATCGATACATGGCTGGAGAAAAGGGATTCCGCATGCCTTTTACTTGCCAAGATGGCCGGATGAGCGCCGTGATACTCTGGCAGGGAAGAGAGCCGGACGCATGGGAGCCCATCGACCAACGATCTTGGTGTCTTCAAGAGTCCATATTGTCGCCGCGCGTACTTGAATATGGAACGCACAACATTCGCTGGCACTGCGCTCAGAGTCGTGCAGATGAGTCGAAACTACGACATGATGGTTGGATCGGGCACTCGAAGACATTTGCGCAGTTACACATGTCTCACCCACTCACGTCGAGCATCGATTGGACGGGCTTGGGGGAATCTTACAAGTTTGTCGAGGTATGGCAGACGCTCGTGAGCCATTACACGCGCCGCGGCCTGGGCTGGTATCAGGACAAATTACTAGCCATCTCTGCCATCGCCCGAAAGATGAGCAAAATGACGGACAAGCACTACGCGGCAGGGCTGTGGACGGAGTTTCTGGGGGAGATGCTTCTGTGGCATCCGAATCACGGGCCGGACGCAAAGGAAAAGCCTAGCAGACACGCTACATACGTTGCGCCGTCGTGGTCGTGGGCGTCTTTCAGCGGGGAGATTGATTTTACGTTTGGATCGACGATGCATCTGCTGGAGATTGTACGATGCGAAGTCAAGACTCAGATTCCGAATGATGAGTTTAGTGCGGTGACGAGTGCAAGACTGGAGATTAAGACGTTGATGTTTGGTGCGAGGCTGCGCAAGGGAGATTACGGGTGGTTTCTGTGGGATGAGGAGATGAAGGATGAGATTGATGGATCGTTGATGTTTGACGTGGCGGAAGCTGCCGTCGATGGCGAGGTTGTGGAGGATGAGCAAGTGTTATTGGCGTTGATCATGACTCAAGATGCGTTGATGCTGAAGAAGAAGAAGAATGGCGTGGATGAGTATGTGAGGATCGGGATATTCCGAGAGGGACAGCGGATGACTAACCGGGCGAGATGGGAGATGGGGGGAGTTGTCATGGTGTAAGTAAAAAGACGGTACGAGATGAGATGATGAATGAATCAATGATTGAATGAATGAGTAAGTGAGTTGACTTAAGTCAATGAGTTTATCAATCACCACCATTGGCAGTAACAACAACTCCAAGTCTTCCAAGGCTATGGAAATAGCGCCAGAAGCACGTGAAATGGTGTGCGAGGCCGAGAATCCGCCGCCCCACGCCGATGGCCCGGAACCGCAGCAATTTGAACAAGTCCCATTACAAAGCGCGCCGCTTCCCTTTTTAAAAAACGATGAAATACCCCGGATTTCCTTGTTCACTGAGAACGGTGGGATCGCTAGTCGACATTGAGATTTCGGCCTTGTTTCATTGTGTTGTTTGGAGCTGAGAAATCGTTTTCCGTGAGTGAGTGTCCTGGAGAAGAAACACAAGATGAGGGCGCATCAGGCTCTCCGATTGGCTGGGCGACGACTACAGCGGCCGCTTCTGTCACCACGCAGACGAGCATCAACAATTCTGCTCTCGTCTTCATTCTCATCATCGTCGTCGTCTTCATCAGCCTCAGCAACGGAAACACAAACTCCCCGTCCAGCCCCCTCAAATCCTGCCCTCAACTTCCCCTGCCTCGACGCAATCGAGTCCCGCTCCGCACGGCTCAGCGCCGATTCCAGCTCCGCTTCCCGGGCCGGCCTCTCCTCCTCCTCTTCGTCATCAACTTCATCATCCGCCGGCCCCGAGCCCTCGTACACCTCCGGCGACACCCTCAACTACCACTGCCGCGACCCCCTGCTGCTCGACTGGGGCGGCGTCCTGCCCTCCTTCAACATCGCCTACGAGTCGTGGGGCCGCCTCAACGCCGACAAGTCCAACGCCATCCTCCTGCACACCGGCCTTTCGGCCTCTTCGCACGCCCGCTCGACGGATGCCAACCCTGCCCCCGGCTGGTGGGAGAAGTTCATCGGCCCCGGAGCCCCCCTGGACACGGACCGCTTCCACGTCGTCTGCACCAACGTCATCGGCGGCTGCTATGGCTCGACCGGCCCCGGCAGCGTCGATCCGGGCAACGGCGAGAACTACGCGACCCGGTTCCCCATCCTGACCATGCAAGACATGGTGCGCGCCCAGTTCCGCCTGCTGGACCACCTCGGCATCGGCCGTCTCTACGCCAGCGTCGGCTCCAGCATGGGCGGCATGCAGTCCCTCGCCGCCGCGACGCTGTTCCCCGACCGCGTGTCCCGCGTCGCCACCATCAGCGGCTGTGCTCGAAGCCATCCGTACAGCATCGCCATGCGCCACACGCAGCGCCAGGTGCTCATGATGGACCCCAACTGGAACCGCGGCTTCTACTACGGCCGCGTGCCTCCCCACGCCGGCATGAAGCTGGCCCGCGAGATCGCCACCGTCACGTACCGCTCCGGCCCCGAGTGGGAGCAGCGCTTCGGCCGCCGCCGCGCCGACCCCGGCAAACCCCCCGCCCTGTGCCCCGACTTCCTCATCGAGACGTATCTCGACCACGCCGGCGAGAAGTGGTGCCTGACGTACGACCCCAACAGCCTGCTCTACGTCAGCAAGGCCATGGACCTCTTCGACCTCGGCTACGAGAACCAGGTAGCCACCCAAGCCCGCCGAAGAGCTCGAGAGGACGCCCTCGCCACCGCCCCTTATTCCCCCTCCGAATCCGCCTGCAGCCTGACGCTCCCCAACGAGCCGTACCAAGAGCAGCCCGGTTCCTCGTCTGCCTCCAGCGATGCCTCCGAGCTCGCATCACCGGCAAACCCCGCATCCTCTCGCCCCCCGGCCGACCTGATCCGCGGCCTATCTCCCCTCCGCGACATCCCCACGCTCGTCATGGGCGTTGCCAGCGACATCCTCTTCCCAGCATGGCAGCAGCGCGAGATTGCCGAGTCTCTCCGCCTAGGCGGAAACCGAAACGTCACCCACGTGGAATTGAGTGAGGAGACGAGCTTATTCGGACACGACACGTTCTTGCTCGACTTGAAGAACGTAGGAGGCAACCTACGACTGTTCCTCGACTGAAAAGGCGTAAAAGAGCCGGGTGTATAATAGAAACATGAAACATGAAACATGAACAGCCATTTTTGTTAACCAATGTATATTTTTTTGTTATGTTTTTTTTTTGCCTCCTGAAACAACAGTTAGTATGTTCGGGATATCTTGCGTATTTAGCACACATGACATTTGGCGGATACAATGTTGAAGAAAAAACAAAGTAATTCCTTTTTTTCAAAAAAATCCCATGCGTATACATGTTCATGCGCCAAAATCCTCCAACATACTAATACAAGTCCTTCTCAGAAGAAAAAAAAGGGGGGGGAGAAGAATAATCACTCCTCCCCACAAGTAGACTGACAAATCTCTGCGGCAATCCACTCAAATACTAGTCCAGCTGGCAATTATCTAATAATACTTCTGTACAGGCAGAATAAAAAAACGAGTGACGAGAATGAAATATATAAAGGTCAACGCTTGCAAAAAGCATCACAAACAAATCCTACTCCATCATCCCATGTCAACACGGTCGTTAAGTACACCCAATGATCAGCCACAACAGACAAAGAGAGAGAGAGCGAGCGAGAGTAAGAAAAGAAATGGGACAAACACAATGGATAAGGAAAAACTTTTTCAGATAAATGTCGATCCTGATGGGGAATACAGGCTATTCGGTGTCAACGGGCCCTTATCCCTGATAAGTGACGGCGGCAAGTTGATGGGTGAAGGCGTTGGTCGTGGAGGCGCCTTCTTTGCTTCAACGCGTATGACGGGGCTGGGCTTTATGCTGGGACTGGGACTGGGCCCATCGTTGATGGTGAACTCGTTGGCGAGAGGCGATGGCTGAGGGGCATCAAAGGATATCTCAAACGACTTGGCGAGGTCTTCACTCGTTGCCGAAATGGCCTTTTCGAGCGATGGGAACGTCGGGCTGGGGATGCGTGGCGCCACATCTGACGTGGGAGTGGAAAGAGACCAGGTCGGCGAACTCGGTCGTTGGCTCTTGGGGGTTCGCGGCATTGGCACCGTAGCGCCTCTGAACTCTGATCGGTCAAAGCCAAAGCCTCCCCACTTGGAAAATGGTCGAGGGCTCCGCTCCTCAGACTGTCTCTCCGGGGAATCGCTGGGGGGCATCTGTGGACGGGGAGGCTGTCGTCCTCGGGGAAGGCCCTTCATGACGGGAAACTCTCCTTCCATGGGCGTTCGGGCAGCAAAGGGGCTCAGTGGCACCCGGTCCATGGGCGGCCGAGGTGCCTCGTACGTACGCACATACGTGTCTTCATCCGCAGCAGCAGGCCCGTATGGACTCCGGGGGCTTTGTGTGGGCGTCTCCATGCGAGCGATGAGGCTGGAGAGTGCAGTGTGCTGCAGAGGCTGTGGAGGGCCTCGAGAACGAGAATCAGACGTCATTCGTGTGTTGAAGCCCTGGGGCGTAGATGGCGTGAATGAATTCAACACTGAGCCCAGGGCGACTGGAGCCTCGATGTTCGCCTGGGATGGTCTCCGGATGATTTGTCGAGGGCTTTCGATGCCAGCCGAGACAGCAGAGGGTGATGGCAGCGGCTGATGTGTCGATAGGGACTGCGAGTCCTCGTCGGGAATCGCCACTTTGAGCCGCTGGGGGCTATTTTGTTCCACTGAATCCTGGGCCTGATGATATGCCCGATATTGCTTCGGCGATGGTCTCGGTGATGCCATGGGTGATGCCATGGGAGAGCCAATGGGCGATACTATGGGCGATACCAAAGACACGGTTTCGCTTGGCTCAGTCAAGCCATCACTAGCAACATCCTCGGCATCTTCTGCGCCTACAGCATCCTGAGTATCCATGGCTTCTTCAACATCTCCCTCGTCAGCCCTCGCAACTTCTCTAAATGGGTGTGGCCCCTTCATTTGGATCGGGCTCTCCACCAGTTCTAAGCCGAGCGTCCCAATAGCCACGGTGGGCTGCTTCGTCACCCCGTCGCCGAAATCGAAATTGGAAAAGTTGCCCGTAAGACCCTCTACGGGACGCTGCTGCTGCCGGTGTTTCTCGAGGTCGTCTGCCTCAATGGCCATTGTGAAGCTCCTCCTCCGTGGTGACAGGAACGTCAGCGTGTCTCGCTTCGCTTGAACATTTCTAACAACAGGCGATGCTCGTTTGTCTTCGCTCTTACGCGATGTTGACGACGACGGGCTGGGCAGCATCGTGGGGCCAGGGCCGTTGGCGAATCCTGGAGCGGTGAATTGGTTTGGTTGCAACTCCTTTGTGCTCACTTCTACCTCTCCCTCCGCCTCCGCCTCTACCTCCACTTCTGCCTCTATGTCGGTCTCTGCCCCCGTGTCTCCGCCTGCAAAAGCCATCGGGGGCCACTGGTCCTCGGTTTCGACTGATTGAGGAGGAGACGGATATCCAGCATATCCAGAACCACGGATTCCAACGTCGGGCCCAGGCTCGCCAAAATCATCCAAACCACCCGAGTCTCGTTTCGCTGGCTCCGGCTCCGGTTCTGGCTCAGCCTTCGAGTCAGGCTTGCTCAACGGGCTCTTGCTCGTCACCGCTTTGACACCACCGCTTCCGGCACGGTTGGAAGATTTTGAGATGCTTCCAGATTTCTTGTTAAAATGAACGTCCAGAGGATTCACCCACTCCGATTGCCTAGAGCCAGCGGGCCGTGATGGCATCCCCGGCCGACCGCTGCCGTTTACTCCAAAAGGATCCGGCACGGCAAGGTTGGTCATGCTCGCGTTAGGCTTCATCCAGGGTTTGAAGCCAGCGCCGTCGATGCCATGGCGCAGGCTGCTCTCGCTGGCCTTCCGGGGTACCGATAGATCAACCATGGACGACGCTGCCGGCACGCCCTTGAACGTCGCACGCCAGCCCAGATTTCGGGCATTCGAGGTGGAGGTGCCTGGTCGCGAGGATTGGGGTTGCGGCGGAGGGAACTTGAAGCTGTCATTGCCGTTGCCGTTCCATCGTTGAGTTTGTGGCTGCTGGGCCACTTGCTTCTTGTTGGACTGCTTACTCCTGTGACGGATAACATTAGTCAGTTGCAAGAGAAGCCGGATGGCTCAAGAAATGGATGGGAGCAAAAGCAATCATCTTACTGAGACTTCTTTTTGTCGCTGCCGAATCGGAGGCCAAAAAACGACACCATCTTGCAACGACCGGCTACCCGACTTGATCAACACCGTCGGTGCCTCCCGATGAACAATCACCTGCTTGTTTCGCAGTCTCTGTGGTCTCCGTCTCCGCCCTGGCTACCCAAAGGTGCCATGAACCGATGGAAAGGCTCCCCTCAACCCCAGCAGTATGTAGCGTGTGGAGTGGCCCGGGGTTCAATAGGAAGGGATAGATGGAACAGTATAGAATGGAGTAACGGTATAGTACAGGTGGTTCGTGGTTCGCATGCGGTATGTTCGTAGACACGCTCTCTATTGTGTTTAAATTTTCGTCGTCGTGGATCTTGGATTTGGGTGAGAAAAAGCGAAAAGGAACGGACGTGTCGAGTGTGACACAGGCGACGGCAACAGTGAGAAACGAGGGATGTGCAAGCGCGCGACCAGCCGCAGAATCAGCATACAGAAATAGGTAGAGACGGAAAAACGAAGTCTCAGAGGCCGTCGCCGGTCGATAAGAGACTTGATTGAAGTCAAACAGAAGAGGGGAGAGAAAGGCAAGTTGAGCCCAGGCGAAGCGTCCGTCTGTCTGTCTGCTACCCTAAGCGTGTGCGGGAGCACGAGCACCAATGCTGCAAGGTACGGGTGGACAGGTGCAGGTACAGGTACAGGTACAGGTACAGGTACAGGTACAGGTACAGGTACAGGTACATTACGGGAACTGGAACGAGCGCCGATTGATGGATGGAGTGCAGCATCCGTTCAATGCCATGGGCCCTCTGGCGGGTGCCTGCAGTGCAGGTCCAGGTCCAGGTCCAGGTGGCAGCGGGCGCACGTACCGGTACCTTGGCTGCAGAGAAATGACTGGTCGAGATGGGCTTGGATGCTCTCCACGAGTCGAGTCGAGCACGGGGAAGCGACATGGAGGATACGAATTGACGTGCCGCCTACGAGCAGCCCCGGGCCAGGGTTAAGTGAGCGATGCCCGTACCTGTACCTGTACCTGTACCTGAACGACTACGGGTACATACACGTCCGCTCAGTTGATTCGTCCAGGTACAGGTACAGGTACAGAACCTGGCCCCCCCAGACGTGGTGGATCGTGGCATTCGCGCCTCGCAATTTGTTGGTGTTCACTTTCAACCAGCAAAATAAAGCGGCGACATGCTGGCGCTATTAGCAGGCCAGGGGGTTCTGGGGCAGCTCCGCGCGCTAGGCGGCGCTATGCCATTTGCAACGATGGCGACAACGCAGGGAACGTTGAAAAGGTTCATCCCTCGAGCCATTTCGCGGTGCAGCAAACAGGACGAGGATGGAAAGAAAGGATGAGGTAAGGAAGAAGAGCAAAGACATAAACAAACAAACAAAACAAACAGTGCGGTCAATGTCTGTGCAGAGAGCCGACAGGGTGGGGGGAGTTGGGGGTTGGCCTTGGAGGAGGTACATGTCAACGGGTACAGGTAATGTACAGTACGTAGATGCAGATGGATGCCTTGTAGCCGCTGATGATGGAACAGCGAATGGAAGCCCGAATGGATCAAATGCTGCCAGTTCGCATAAATCGCCCGAGCGGGCAATTAAATCAACATCGAATGAACATTATTGAACGAAAATGTTCCCTCGCTGCGGCTTACATGTACGAGTACACGCGCCTGTCAGGTACGAGTACCAAGAAAACGCCCCCAGTCCAAACGCCAAAAGAACGAGCTCCCTCACCTCACCGCTAACGCCCACTAAAAAGAACGTTGTCCGCCGTCTTCTAGCGCCATGGGCCCCTTGCAGTGCCCCCTCCCGTGGTTGGCCAGTGCCCGCGTTGCCCCTGAAGCTAATGCACGTCTTTGGCGGCTCGACTGTTTTTTGCACATGGTCTGCATGGGGGTTGAGTTGTAATGGTAAGGAAAAAGGTTGACATGCAAAACTTGGCATAATGGCTAAAAAAGGGCTCTCCTCAAAGGCATCATGGCTGGAAGAAAGAGGGAGCTAAGAGCCGTGGAACTTGAACTCATATCAGTGCTCCGTACGAGTACAAGCATACGTAGTACATGTACCGATAGCGATAAGCTTGCCCGGCCAAATCCGACATGGAATTGAGGGCTCCATCGTTTTCTCAACCAGGCAATGCTCCGGTTTAGGACTGCGCAAGTACCAGTCTGGTGGTAGACTCGTACCTACATGTACTCGTACCTGGCAAGGTGCATGTGGTACTGTTACATTGATCATGTGCGATTATTGAATTGACGGATCAACATGTGATTTTGCGTCTGGCCTGTACTCCGTACTGCACTGCACCGCTGCTCGCTTGGCGGCGATTCAAGGACAGGTGAGACTCGGTGCAACTCAACCGCGAGGCCTTATTAGGTCATCTTAATGTCCACCGTTGCGGTAGACGTTCATGGATCTCACCGGGGGCCAGCCTGTGCTAGGCACGAATATGCCGTCTGGTACGAGTACTCGTACAGTACGGAGCACGAAGCATCGGCCATCTTCTCAATGTATTCTGTACTCCGTCCACGCGTCAGCTTCGGCTACTACCAAGGTACAGGTAGGTAGGCGAGAGCCCGTTTTTAGCATCGGCAGCAACTCGCTGCTTACATGTAGGTACAGTGGCACTTTGTACTCTGGACTTGGCAGCTTATGCTCGGAGCTTAGCAGTCCACTGTCCTCTGCACACCTCATCAAACATGGAGGCCAATATTGGTCAGATGAGGAATGGAAGACGTTGAACATAAAGGCACGTGCAATCAATAGTCCAGTGGCGAGAATACAGCGGTATGATTCCCCTTGCGCTTAACAAAGCTGTGAAAAGGAAAATCGCATCAAAGTCCCAAAATGCGGCAAAGACAATTTCCCTAAAACGCCATCAAGATCCCATCGAATTTTGCCCATCTATCATAGCACCAGCACCTTCAAACCACATCGTCAGGACAGCCCTTCTCTCATCTCCACGGCATCGCAACAGCCGCCCATTCTCAAGCTCGCAGCGCCGACTGGCTCTTCCCTTTCCTCCTTGAAATCCTTGCCAAGATGATCAGACAACCGAGCACTCGCGGGTGTTGAAATGCCGGTGCGATACGGTATTTGCTTTCCCAGCAGTAGCCCGCACGTAGCGAATCAGTAGGGCTTACATCGCGTCCAAGTTCCCATAAAACCATGGCGCAGAAGAGGATTCGCCTGGATGGTAATGGCTTGAATGCTGGCATTTCCCCCCGTGTTTCCGTCGGGCGGTATTCTTGCACCAAGCGTTGTGTCTCCGTCATCGATTTGCATGCAACAACTTCCATCGTATTCCCAAGCCGTGCAAGGGAAATGTCAACTTAAAGCTGGTCGAGGAGTTTCCGTCTTCTTCTCTCGAGAAGCTCCATCTGGACCTCCTCCAGCGTTGGCAATGCCCACCCATGGCCATCCCCACTATCCCCAGGTAATGGTTCCCAGCCGTCGGGGACTCCCTGAGGCCCTGTCTTGACGAGATTCTCCGCCGCCTCCCTTTCCTTCTCTGCCTCGTATTGTAGCAGGGCGTCGTCCTCTTCGCCGGGAGCGTAGCCGTAGTACGCTGCGTCCACAATTTTCCTCAAATCTTTGCTGGTCTCGAGTGGTTTGTCCTCTTGCTTCTTCGCTTGAGCCGCCTCAAAGAGCTCCTTGACGCCGGGCAGCTCTCGGGCTCGTCCGTAATACTTGTATCCCTTCCCACCGCCCGGTATTTCTCTGCCTTGCTCGTCGTACATCTTCCCGCCTCCTCTCATGTAATTCGGCCCGCCTAAATTCCGTATCTGGACCTCCCACATGTGCTTCTCCCGCATCAGCTTGTTGATTTCATCGTTGATGTCGCGGATCTGGTAGTCGCTGAGCACGGGGTCCTGGATCCTCGAGACCTTGCGCGAAATCTCCTTGAGTACTTGGCCACGCCATCTCTCGCAATTTGGGATCGAGTCGACTTCGGTGATGACCTTGGGGCGGCGGGTTCGTCCGGCGTCGATAATGCCGAGGTCTGCTGCTTGCGCTTCGCGGAAGCGGAAGAGCATAGACTGGGCCTTTTCCGAATTTCGAGCCTGTAGAAAATGTATGAGCAAACTTTTCTCATCAGCAAAGACGGATGCTTACCATTTTGACGGTGGGAGCACGAGGGCCAAGGTGCTGTGAAAGTTGACGATCGCTCAGCTGGCAGAAGCTCACTTTGGAACTTTGCCTAAGCCAATCTGCAGCCTTGCGAAGACCACTGTGGCTGATATGCACCAGCCACAAGCAGTAATAGCCGGTCACACTTTTGAGAGTCCCCAGCCTTGCGACATGGCAAGTATCCTACCCTGCAGTATCCAAATTCGCATATTGTTCAATGAAATCTGTTCAAAGAATGCCGCTTGGGGAAACTAAATTCCGCTAGACTCTCTGTTGCTGCTATTATTATTATTATTTCCTATTTTCTTTCAGCTAGGCAGCTGCTTTATACTCATACAATCATCTTGGAGTCAATGTCAACCTTACCAAGTAGGTACGTAACAGGATGTCCCAACTGTCGTCATCGCCATCACAGCATTTGTAAACTAGGTGCTCAAAGCAAACCTCAACTCTCATCGAGCAACATAAACTGTACATCTTGCTTCAATTACTGCAAACTAATTGCAATTTTCCACAAGTAGAATACCGGTTTGTTCCGGTTGTCAAGGCTCACCGAGTCCAGGTGACGATCTAATTGTTCACGCAACGCCCCGATAATAGGCGAAGCATTTCCGGCATTTCCGCTGTTGCTCAAGAAGTAACTTGCGAGAGAAAAAGAGCATCTCCGCGACACCTAACAAAAGTCAGCTTTATGCTAGACTGTTGAAATGAGCTGCCGGACGGAATCCGCCGTAACTCATATTTGGATGAGCCATTGCCGGTCATGGCCCCACTACGGAGCGGGATTGCTTTTGATATGGCCATTCAAGCTGGAGTGCTGAATCAGGCGGTAAGACAGTTGATAAGTATTCAAAGCAATGGTATTTACGAAGAAACCCGAGACGGATGGCAAAGTAGGCGTATTGACAATGATTATAAGACGGTGGTAGTCATCTCACTTTCGACAATTTTTATTCACCAAAACAAGCGCAGCCATAGAAAGAACAAACACCACAGCTTAAGACGCCCGGATCCCTCCTACTTCAATATTCTATTCCCTGACTCGATCAGCAACTCAAAATCCCTATCAATTCGCCACTGCATAAGCTGCTTTGACAATGTCGCACTCCATCATCTCCCCGGCTATCCTCTATTGGGGCACTCCCGTTGTCCTCGTCTCTTCCGAGAACGAAGATGGGTCTGAAAACATCTGTGCCATCTCTTCTGCATTTTGGCTGGGACATCGATGCATCCTCGGCTTTGCCGCCGAAAGCAAGACGCCAATCAACATTCTTCGAACTGGCCAATGTGTCGTCAATCTTCCCGACGACAGCATGGCTCGCCACGTCAACCTGCTAGCGAATACAACTGGCACCGAGAATGTCTCTGACTCAAAGAAGGACAGAGGATACCACTATGTCAAGGACAAATGGACTTGCGCGGACCTTACGCCCCAGAAATCTGATCTCGTTCGCCCGCGTCGGATTTTGGAATGTCCTGTTCAGATGGAGTGCGAGTTAGCCGAGGCCCATCAAGTTATGAAGGACTTTCCTGATCTCAAGGGCGTCATCGTCTGCATTGAGCTCAAGATTCTTCGAACTCATGTTGTGGATTCGATTCGCATGCCGGGATATCCCAACCGTATCGACCCCGACAAGTGGCGGCCCATGATTATGTCTTTCCAGGAGCTCTATGGCTTGGGAGGAGGAAAGCTGGACAAGAGCATCTTGGGCAAGGTTGAGGAAGAAAAGTATCGTCGACTTACACGAAGTGACGTGGTTAAATTGCCTGGAGATGACGACAAGGAAGAAGTTGAGGCGGTTTATTCGCAGGCAAATGGAAGCCTTGAAGATGGAAACTAGATATTATAAGACTGGTCGATTGCTTTTCTCCTTTAGAGCGTACACGCAATATAGAGTTGGACAGAATTTTTCTTACAATCAAGCTTGTTCATATGTCTAAAAGATTCTGTTCGTAGTATCCGTTGTCAGTGACATAGCATCAGAATGTGCCATTTATTCAGCAGTGGATATGTTAGTGGTAAGAAATGAAGCCTGCCAGAAGTATTGAGTAGGAAGTACTGAAGCCATATACCCATCTCAGAAGTAACAAGATACTCAGTCAGGAGCAGCATGCCTAAACCAGGAGAAAGTAATTACATTGACAGCGTGTAATATATTGACTCATGGGCTATTTCTATTAGTTACGAACCTGCCCCAGTAGATCCGGATCCTCATATGCTATCTTGCCCTCGCTAACGTCGGGATATACGTCAAAACGCCTCTGCGCCTCCAAAGGAATGTTTCTGCGTGTCTCCGTAATTCTCTCCTCGACCAGTTCGGCCTCAATAATAGCCTCCCCCTCCCCAGTCTCCGCCAGGACACCAGCCATTGGGTCGAGAATCATACTGTGGCCCCAGGCATGATAGGGACCATCCAAATTACGTGCAGGGCTGCACATTCCCACGTAAATCTGGTTGTCAACGGCTCGTGCCTGGGCCAGTAGTTTCCAGTGAAGGGCACCCGTGATGAGGTTGAACGCGCCAGGGTAGATTAGAGCGAATGCTCCTTTGCGAGTAGCAATAGTTGCAAGCTCGGGGAATCGGATATCGTAGCAAATACCAATGGCGACTTTTCCATATTCAGGAAAGTCGACGAGGGTGATCTTGTTGCCTGGGCTGAGAACATCAGATTCCCGAAAGGTAATCTTGCCAGGAATATCAACGTCAAAGAGGTGCAGCTTGCGATGAATCGATAATAAGGCACCGTCGGGTCCGAAGATGAGACAAGTGTTGTAATGCTTCTTTGTAGAAGGGTTGAGTTCAGGAATCGAGCCTCCAATAAGGTACACCTTATTCTCTGCTGCCATTGCCGATAGAGCATAATAAGAAGGGGCTTGCTCTTTTACTGGAGGCAAAGGTAGTAGAGTCTCTGCATATTTGGGAAAGAAATCGGTTCCATAGGGTGAGTTGAAGCATTCTGGGAGAACGACAATCTTGGACCCTCCCGAGGCAGCCTTTGCTACTTGAGAAGCAGCATGCTTCAGATTGGCGGCCTTGTCAAGGCCCGAAGACAGCTGTACAATAGCAATCTTGACGGGCTTCTTTAGAATGCTGCGAGCGACGGATGCCATTTTGGCGGAAGATGAGAGTCGACTTGGAGAATGGCTCTGGATAGGTAGCTAATGAAGAATGAGACCGTAAACGCTCTGTTGGATAGCTGACGAATAGCTGTTTGCCTATCAACAGTTGAAATTTGTCAATAATAATCAGTTGTCTCAAAATATCCATCCATGCAATGATAAGAACAAGATAGCTGTGATAGAGGCGAAGTAATACCAGCGTTGATGCCCATCGGCTTTTCGGCTTTTTCCACATTTCCATTTATTGCTCCATAGCGCATTCTAGGACTCTATCTCGCTCCATATAGAGGCTTTCAATAGCGCGGGCGCCCAGTGTGAGCGTCGGCTTAATCGCTCATTCACCGACAGCGGCGGTTCCACTCAGCTTCTCCTCATATCAGCTGGTGATAAAAGGTGGCTGTCGATGCTAACGTAGGAAGAGAAAGAGTCGGGTTGGAGAGCTGTCCACGCGACTATACAAATCACAAAACGAATCAACGGTTGCATCTGCACACTCAAGCCAGCTGGCACAAAGCAAAACGCGACATTCATTACCGACTCCGACAATGGAACAGTTTGAATTCCATGATCCAACAACGCGCTCCACCTGGCGGCAGTGCTCGCCGGGAATCGAGGAGCTGATTCTCAACGAGGACAAAACAACCGGTCGCAAAACTCTGCTCCAGCGATGGCAACCCGGCGCAACAAACCCGGCTTCAACCCCCTTTGTGCACACATACATTGAGGAGATTTACATCGTGGAGGGCGATGTCACGGATAAGACATTGAGACAGACGTTTGACAAGGGCATGTATGCATACCGCAACCCCGGCATGGAACACGGGCCGTGGTCTTCGGAGCGCGGTTGCTTGATGTTTGTCACTTGCGCGGCAGTTGATAGGTAGTGCAAGCACATGTATGTACGAGTTGAAATCGATCATTTGCATTGCATGGGTTGAATCGTCCAATGACGCAGAGAGACCAAGAACTGGCTTGCATGGGGCTCAACGCTGGTGGAATCATTTGGTTTCTGAGTGATTGTTTTGTCATCCTGCGCTGTCCCGTTTACGGAAAATGGATCGCAAAATAATATTCCACGTATGATTGAACTCGATATCACCGTGCCTAATAGCAAGCAAGCCCCCTAAAGGAAGGCTCAATTCTTCCAACCTATGTTCTCTCTCGCCTCCTCTCCTTCTCTCGCCAACATCCCGTAGTATTGTCGTCTTTGTCCCTGACAACAATTGACAACGAGCGATTGATTACGTACATGTGCCGGCTTCTCCCTGTACCCAAGCTGAAAACGGGCGTTCCATGGAGCCAGCCTCTTCTCCGCGTTCGCATTTCCTTCTCCAAAAAGGCCTGCGGAGGTTGCGGAATGGCGTCGAGCTTCCCCAACTTCCTGACTCATTAAGCATCCTCAGCTGGTGATTTGGCGACGCATCGTCCGAGCTATTCCTAAGAACGGGGACCCCTTCCCCAGATCCCCCAGAAATAAAACCCCAGATCTAGAGCAGGCCCTTTAGTCATAAGACTCTTATATCGGCAAATTCGCCTCCAACACACAGCAGCTCATCTTCCCTCCCGCCAACAATCTTCCAATTGCCGACACTTGCTTTCCATCACAAACCATCACCCTCGGAACCGGATCCCCGTGTGTATGTGGAGAAACCCCGAGATGTCGGACGTTGTGGTGGCCCAACCGAGGAAGCCGGCCAGTAGAGGCAGCAGACGAGGCCGGAAACCCACATCGTGTACGCAGTGTCATTTGAGGAAGCAGAAGTGCGATCGTAATCAGCCGTGCAATCGCTGCCTGCAGCGGGGAGTTGCTCACCTGTGCGGCGATTCTACGACCAATGGAGTCTCCAAGGCGTCTGAGACCCCCCAGATGGTTGCCATCACCCAGCCATATTCACCCAGACCGAGAAGGATCATACAGACGCCCATGAGTCCTCGTTTGGGTTCGTTATTCGCAAACAGGGGGTCGAGAGCCTTTTATGGCTCTTCCTACTTTGGACACCAAGTAGCGGCTAGGATACTGAGCGAAGAGGGTCAGGATCTCCCGTCAGGGATCTCACGGGGTCGTGACACGCTGCAGTCTTTTCGGGATGAATCCAGCTCTTTTGCCCAAGTTTGGGACCTACTCGGTCTGTTGCCTCGTCAGAAGTCGACGGTTGATCGGCTGGTGAACATTTTCCTGGCCGAAGTGAACTGGTCTTTGGATGCGGTTCACGAGGCGACCTTTAGGAGCAGCTATGACGAGTTTTGGGGAAGGCGATTTGGATTTGACGATCTGGCCAACGTTGATCTTCGCTGGCTGGGACTTTTATTCATAATACTGGCATTCGGAGTGCTGCTCGATACTCCACCGCGTCTGACAATGGATGTTCAGCGAGAGCGAGAAGAGGCATCTCTACGATTTTACGTACGTATTTACTGATCCCAGTGCAAGTGAATGTAAGACGAGCTCGGCGACTGACGAGGGACTATATAGTGGGCAGCCAGGAGAGCAATTGTTATTGCTCCCTCATTTTACGGAGAAAGCACCGATATTGTACGGGCAGGGCTTCTGGTCACTCGCTATCTTCTTCACACTCGGCGAGTTTCGGAATCATGGCTGACAATCGGCTTTGCTTCACGAATGGGGCAAGCCCAAGGAATGCATGTAAGAATTTCAAAGATCCAATATTGTTTATGACACGAGAGAAGCTCACATATGTCAGGTTGACGGTGAAAGATGGCGCATGTCGCGGAAAGGCACAGAGCAGCGGAGACGACTTTGGAGCCACATATACGCCATCGATCGTATGATATCCCTCGCATTAGGCCGGCCCTATGCTATCAATGACGAATTTTGCCTGACACACGAGGCTGAAAACGTGTGGCTGGATGACTTGGAGGATGAAGAAGCTGCTCGCATTGCTCCGCAGCCGCTCAATCTACCAACGCCGAGCGTCCTGACATTCCTACTCTATCGACTTGCAAAGGTCATTGGCAAGATTCAAGAGAAATGCTTCGGGTTGGAGAGAGCCAGCTACGAAGCCGTACTTCAGCTGGATGCCGACTTGGTCATGTGGAGCGAAGAGCTTCCGCCATATTTCAGCCTAGACAACCCAGACACTGCAGGAGACGAGGCCCTTCCATTTCTCCCGTGGCACCGACTCTATCTACACACATCATTTCACTTTGCAAGAATCATCCTACATCGGCCATTTTTGCTCCGGGAGTCCATCACGGATCGATTTCGGTCGAGCCACGAGGCGTGCATGTCATCAGCGCTGGCAGATTTGAAAATCAGGCTTCGCACGATGAATAACACGACCGCGGACAACCTGCGGTGGGCGTTTGGAGCCCACAATCTATTCAACAGTGCGATGATTTTAGGGATCATTGCGGTTAAAAACCCTCATTCGTCGCAGGCTGGTGCTATCCTGGAAGACCTGGAAGCGTACTGCGAAAACCTGCATCGAGACCCCTGGTTGAACGAATTTGGTATGGCGGAGCTAAAGGTAATCGAGCTTTGTATTGCAAAGGCCAGGGACTCCAGATGTACTTCGATGAGTGTTTATGCATCTGGTTCTCCAGCGGAGCCTGTTAGCACCAGAACCAGCACTGTAGATGGTTCTGCGCGTATACGACCCCCCGACTTGGAATCTCCGGCCATGTCTTCGGATATGAGCTCCATATATTGGCCAACTGTTTGGGAGGATAACCAGTTTTCATTTCCTGGTGCGGCAGACTTTAGCACTTGGGAGCAGATGATATCAGACATTGCGGAAGATAGCTATATTGGGCAATAAGGCCTACATAGTAATGAATGCTATTCTAGATTTCCAACTCGATCCTATTCATCGAAAGTATTCTAAACCAAAATTCCTAACTGTCCTATCAGATGTACGCTCGTAAGAGAAACTCAGTTGTACACTCGCAAGAGAAACGTCTAATCCCCCTTACGCTCTCGCCTCAATCAGGTGTCCATTATGCGTAGATTCTTTGAAAGCAATGGGGTTTGTCAGCGAGCCGAGACCATGACTAATAGTTACAAACAATTCATCGCCTTCGACGAGCCGAACTGGCGGGTTTCGGCTGACACCAATTCCGCAAGGGGTCCCGGTTAGAATAATAGTCCCCTTTTGCAACGTGCAGCCCTATATCTGATCGTAAGCAAATAACACCTTGTAAATTCTCCTCAGCTGATGCCCTTACCTGAGAGAGGAAAGATACAATCTTAGGAATGGAGAAAATCATGTCACTCGCTTCTCCTTGCTGCATCACCTGTCCGTTGAGGACGGTCTGCAGCTTTAAAACCGACGGATCGGGAATGACCCTTGACGAGACAAGAGCTGGTCCGATTGGTGCGAATCCGTCGAAGCCCTTGCCGCGATCCCACTGCGAAACTTCGTTCTGGTGTGTCCGTGCGGTAACATCGTTGGCCGTCATGTAACCTAGCACATATTCCATGGCATGATCCTCGGAGACATCTTTGCATGTCTTTCCGATGACAACTGCCAGTTCCACTTCATAGTCCAGGTGGCAGTCGTGTAGATCTGCGCAGTGAGGGGCAACAATGTGGCTCGAAGGATCATTGATGGTTTCGGTTGCCTTGAGGAACATTGTCGGGGTTTTAGGGATTGACAACTTCATTTCTGCCTAGTATTGTCATGAAATAGTTAGTTACCTCTATCCAAAATTATTCCTTCGAGTTGTGCCAATACTTACGGCGTGTTCGCGGTAATTGAGTCCAATGCATCGTATAGTACCCGCTTCCTCTGGTCTGAGCGGTGCCAGTATCTGTTTCTCCGTCAACAAAGCTGATCCACGTCCGGTAGTTGTAAGTTTCGCCGCTGACCCTTTTCACCTGCACGACGTCTTCTGATAGGGCGGCGGATAGGTCTAGAGCTGACTCGGCTCGAATAATCCTAGCATATACGTCTTCGCCACGGTGTAAAGCAATGCCAACTAAACCATAAACCCATGTTAGTTTTCGCATGCCTGTAACTATCCCGTGCTTTGGAATCAGGGTGTAATGCATCGTACCATCGAGATCATCGTCAACGGGTTCACCGTATCTCTCTTGACCATTAACATCTTCAAATCTAATTAACCTATTCCAGACCTAGAGGCGAACAGTCAGTCCAAGTCAGGTCCATAGTAGATAAGAATGGGCCAGGGTATTCAAGGCAGAACCGATACTTACAGGCTGGCCTTCTAACAGTATAGGAGTCATTGTTCAAGCCAAAGCGATATATGCAAACACAGTTGCTGCACACTTGGACCAAGACTTAAGCCACAAAATTAGGGCAGCCTCCATGGCGGCGCGTGCCTTATCTGTATATAAAAGCTTCTATTTTCCCTTTTACCAGGCCTGGAGGTGCATCGGAGCCGTGCTTTCGGGCATTGGGAATCATTTGGCATCGGTAAATGCTGCTCACGGCGCTGATGCTAGCGTGGAGTCAGCCTGCATGTGCCGTCGGCATATTGAGGCCTGGCCATCGGCAAAATCGGGAAATGGACTTCCCCCTAGTTCACGATGGCGACTCTCGTGATAACAGCAACAGGCATTCAAAAGACCTTGTAAGTCCTCTGCAAAGACTACAAATACGATTGGAGTTGTTCAATGAAACTCTGACTCAACAACACTCAACTAAACAGTTTCAATTCTTGCCTCTACAATGGACGAGAAGAAAATTGCAACTCCATCCGACTTGTCAGAACATGCCTCCGTCAACAATATAAGCCATGATGAGGGAGTGGTTGATGTTTCAGTGGGGAGGGAGACGGTAAAGAGGAAGCTTAAATCGCGTCATATGCAGTTTTATGCTATTGGCGGTACCATTGGCACAGGTCTCTTCGTGGGTATTGGTGGTGGCCTTGCCCAGGCGGGTCCCCTGTCTCTCTTGTTGGGTTACTCAATTACTAGTGTCTTTATATTCTCTATGGTGAGCTTCATATGGTTACTTTCTTACATAAGGCTCTGTAATTGGGCGTCATGGTGTTATGATAATGCTAACGTACGCCATCTTCAGATGCGATGTCTGGGAGAGATGACAACTTGGATACCACTTCCTGGAGCTACACCAAGATTCTGTTCTCGGTTTGTTGACGAGGCTCTGGGATTTGCAGTTGGTTGGAACCAGTGGTACAATTGTGCAATCACTGTTTGTGCAGAGATATCGGCCGCGGCCGCGGTTATCCAATTTTGGAATGACACCATTTCTGTAAGTCTCCAGGTGCTTCTCTGTTCTAGTACTTTTGTGGTCACCCTCGTGGTTACATGTCTTCCCTAATGGCGAAGGAAGTATATCAGAATGCTGACTGTATACATAGCCTGCCGTGTGGATCTCCATCATCATCGTTCTGATCTTCATATTCAACCTCATCGATGTGGGAGTATTCGGAGAAGTCGAATTCGTTTTCTCCTGCATCAAGATTGTGACTCTGGTCGGCCTTCTCATCTTGTCCCTTGTCATTGATTTGGGTGGCGGTCCAACTCACGACCGATTAGGATTCCGGTAAGTGCTCTTTTCATTGTAAATTTCTCTTGCTCTCAAGAATGGAGCTAGAAATGTTAACCTTAATTCCTCGCATAGCTATTGGAATCATCCCGGAGCTATGGTGGAATACATCACCAGTGGCGACCTTGGACGCTTCCTCGGACTTTTCAACGCCATCGTCAACGCTGTATTTGCCTTCGCGGGTATCGAGATGATTGCTGTTGCAGCAGGAGAGACAGAAAACCCTCGAAAAAACATCCCAAAGGCCGTGAACCGACTCTTCTGGCGAATTCTCTTCTTCTACGTCCTTGGAACGCTTGCTATCGGCGTACTTGTCCCATACACCGATGACAGACTCCTTAACGGTGGTGCTGGTGTTGCCAGCTCACCCTGGGTTATTGGAATTACTCGTGCTGGCATCAAGGTGCTGCCTCACATCATCAACGCCGTGGTACTCGTGTCTGCCGCTTCGGCCGGAAACGCGTTGCTCTACAGCGGTAGCCGATATCTCCTTGCCCTGGCTGAGGGCGGCCAAGCCCCGAAGCTTTTTCTCAAATGCACCAAGAGGGGAGTTCCGATTTACTGCGTTCTCGCTACGGGTTCTCTGGCACCACTTACCTACATGGCCGTCAGCTCTGACAGCGCCAAGGTCTTTTCGTGGTTTGCCAACCTCGTCACAACTGCTGCCCTGTTTACCTGGTGCAGCATTTGCGTTGCCTACATGGGTTTTGACCGCGCACTTCGTGCTCAAGGCATAAACCACAAGGAAGAGCTGGCCTTTGGTGGTCGCTTCCAACCTTACCTCTCGTGGGTCAGTCTTGGATTCTTCATCATCGTCCTCATCTTCAACGGCTTCAGTACTTTTATCCACGGCCATTGGGACACAGAGCATTTTGTAGTAAGCTATATCGGCGGACCGTACGTTTCTAACCCATCCCCTGTCTCCTTGTTTCTCTGCTGACTTTCCTATAGCCTCTTTTTCGCACTTTTCTTCGGATGGAAGATCGTCAAGAAGACCAAATTCCACCACGCCAAGGAGATTGATCTTGACACTGGACGCCAATTGGATGAGTCTACAGACTTTGAGGAGAAGCCAAAGAATCTGGTTGATCGAGTTTGGGCATGGGCAGCATGAGATATGATTATGAAGACTAATACGTTTATATACTCTCGTGAGCGGGAGGGATATGTTGAACATGAAGAGATTATTATACTAGTTCCAAGTGTAAACAGATATCGAGTGCTAAATGGAAATAGATATTCGGGCGTTTTTATGTACCTGACTTTTCTTAATTTTCCTGGCACAACCCCATGTAGATACAAGCACTGATATAAAAGCAGGGGAAGCGCTACGTACTTTGAAGACGAACGGCTCTCAACAAACAGTTCAGTGATAGGAGAGTTCTTATATGAACCATTTTATGCTCACTTGACAGACGTTTATCTTGATTAAGAACTTGAAGACTATGTTTTCCGCGCCATAGGGAGCCAATGCTTTGGCCCAAAGCCAGGTGTACTTAAGAAGCATCTCCAGAGTATATACCACTTGGTAAGTAGACTTCTTACTAGTAGAACTTGAGTGCTGGCCCAACCGGTATTCCCTTACAAAAATACCACTCAATGAGCTGATTGGTTGCTGTTGCTGCCGAATGTATGTACTTATTTATTTTGCAGTCTCGCTTTCTCTGACCTCCACTGGGCTCAGGAGCTATTCTCTAAGGATAGCAATATGAGCAAAAGAAACCCTGATATACTCCTCCGAGGCGTGGGTGTCTTTCGTGGGAAGTATGGTGATGGCCATAGGCGCCTGTGGTTGCCTCTCTTTACATTGGAGGGAGAGGACTTGGGGATGGTGATAGTAAATTTTCGGATAATTCTTGCCAGAAGCTTTCAGCGTCATTAAATATCCCCATTGTAGAAATTTTGGAGCGGCAAAATCTGGTGTCGAGAGTAAATTGGGAGAAAATATATATACAACTAGTCATACGCTTGTTTTGTGAATATCTTCACTTGAGCGTTCGAGTATGATTAGTAATCCGAAAATCATGAGCAGCCTCGCAATACCGCCCGAACAAGATCGAGCTGCAATAGGAGAACCCCCCAATTTCCTACATGGGCAAAAGCCCTTGATAAACAGCTCGTCTTGAAGTAGTATCGCGTGGCCAAGTCCAGCCTAGCTCTTGGCCGAGGTAAAAGCCTGTGATACTGGAACCCATGTTTAATAATCAGAAATGCAGGTACCGGCAGATCGTCACATTAAATCTTTAATGACACGGAAAGGGTGGGGGTTATCTTAGTAAGAAACCTATTGTTTTGAGATAGTCTAGATGAATAAGCATCAAGAATTGACGACATGGTTGAGATGTTGTGGAAAGATGTTTTAATATGGGTTGTGTGAAGAGGTATATCGCCATGCCGCTTGCATACGATTACGGCACTAGGAAGTGGGAGGTTTAGCTGCACTAAGTAAAGAGCCGAGAAGACACTGTTAATGAATTGTGTACATGGCAATGTCACTTTGTGTACAAGGCAAGACAATATGTTCATATATAGTTGTTTTATTTGGGAAGCTATTTGAGTACATGCCATTTATTTTCTACGTAGCTATAGGTACCTAAGACTTATATTCGCCTGACCTCTCCTCAAGACCCTCGACAGTAGTAGTTCTAGTAATGTGCCTCACCAACGCCTCGTCTCCATCTGCGTGGACAGCATGGCCCGTTCCAATGACGCTCAAGCTGTCTCGCATAACAAACTCATAAAAGGCGCTGGAAACCAGTGTAGCTGGGATACTGGTAAAGATTCCAATAGCAGCATAATTCATGTATGAGAAGGCCTCTCTGCCGTAGAAAATGGCCGCAACAACTCTGGGGCCAAAGTCTCGAGCCATGTTCATGGTAAGAGTGTTGGCTCCAAAAGCCCAAGCCATGGCACCGTAAGCCAGTCCAATGATAAGAGGGGCGAGAGATGGAGAGACAAAGGGGTTCGCCGGGTCGAGGCAGGCCCAGATGATGAGACCGACGAAACAGTCGCAGAAGAACTCGGTCATGAATACATATCCCATGGATTGACCGGGGTTAGGGAACGAACACAAGACACTGGCTGGAGCACCGTTGGCAACAAGAGGTTGGCCGGCGGCAAGAAGAACTTCCTTCATCTCATCAAGTTGCTGGTGGTAGATGCCCATGAGAACAAGAGCGGCAATGAAACCTCCGAGAAGCTGGCTGAAGATGTAGTATGGCACCTTCTTGAGGGGAAAGCCTTGCCAAAACCACAGCGCAATGGTAACAGCCGGGCTGAAGTGGCCTCCAGATGTTGGCGCGCATGTAATGATGGCAAAGGCAATGCCCAATGCAAAGGCAAAGCCAATGGAGAAGAGACTGCCAAAGGCAGTGGAGCCGATGGGGTTTGTAGCATTGACCGTGAAGGAAGTGATGGCGCCGATGCCGGGCAGCACATACATGAACACTCCGGTGGCTTCAGCTATGCATTCACGCAGCCAACGAGGACGCCGGTGTTCGAAGTCGAGTCGGCGCTGCGAGACGCGCCTTGGGGGTACGACGTTACGGCTGATATGTTTTTGGACTGCATCCGTTGTTCCCAGCTCTACTGTGTGGAGTGTCAGTTGACCGAAGTGAGATTGACAAGAGTGCTTTACTCAAAGCCAAGAGAGGAAGGACACAGGGCTTACAGTCATGGGTGTGCAGGCGATTCAGCTGCTCAGTTGGCGACATGATGCTTGACTTGTGTAACAGTAAATCTTGATGTTTCACCCGTGTTGTGTATATCAAAGCCAATTGGGCGCTTGAATAGAGGAAGAGGGTAAGGAAGGATCGTCACAACAGGAAGAGGGATGAGACTATATAGTTTCATGCAGGGGAGCGACAAGATGCTCGTAGTCACGTCACGCATCCAAGCATCAGCAGCACAGATGACTATGAATGTAGTAATGTACGGTCAGACCCTGTCGGAAGCTTCGCACACTCCGTACGGGATCCAACCCTGCCTGTCCGCCCCCGGCCCCCTTCCTAGAAATAGACGCCCCCAGCTTTGAATCTACGTTGGTGGCATTGGATCGCTTGCTTTCGATAGTTGACAGGAGTTGCGTCGACTATCTCCTCCCTACCACCAGGTGGCTGAACTTGTACATGAAGCGGTTCTTTCGGCCGGCCGCCCATTGGAGGCCAACTTTTCGCAACAAAACCTACCCTCGTCTTGCTTCTTTTACCCCGGACAGGTGCCCACCTTGGCCCCTCCTCGCCTCCATCTTCCCCCGCAGTCTAACGATAATTCAGGCCATCTCTCCGGGTTGCATGGTGGATTGTCGCTAGCCCTAACAGCGGGAGTACGAAGTACGAGCTGGTTTGCGAGGCAAGTCACGCAGGGGAACAAGATGCGAGACGAGGACTAAGACAAACTGAGCCGGACATGTCAACAAAGTCCGCCTCCTGGCTGTATGTTAACACAAGGCGGCCCCATTAGTTTGCCCGACTAACAAAGCCCAGCTGGTGGCTGCGGAATGGGCAAGTGTTCTAGGGCTATCAAATTCATTACGTGGACACTTGTATACGGAAGTGGCCGTTTTCCTTTTATTGACCTGTGTCGCGATGTGTAAAGGGCGTGACCGTCCGGGAACTTGTTTTTGTTCTCCGTCGTTGCCTATCTTCCGCCCCCATTACTAGCAGAGACTAGGGCACCAATTGCCAAAGCGGATCAACCGGTGTATATAAACTCCGTGAACTCTTTGAAGTTGATTTCTTAGCGAGCCAAGTCAACCTGAGAATGTATGTACTTACAGGCAGGAGACTAAAAGAATGAGAAAAGCGCCCAGTTGCTACTAGCCCCCCCAACATTGTTACAGCATGGCCAGACTAAACAGCCCATCTTGATGAGTTTCGTCGGCAAGCTCTCTTGGCCAGATCGCCCGTGGAATTCACCCCGTACTGCGGAATGGTGGATGTGTGGGGAGACCCTTGTCCGTTGTGCTGAACCTCACCTCATCTCATTCTCCCCCACACAAACCCGAGACAAACTCCAGGTTGTCTATTTGATAGTTTAATTCCGCTGAGTCCCAACGGGCTTGACCGTTTATGCTAAACGAACATACGGTCCACCCCCGCGTTTGTGGCGAGCCAACCGACGTCTGCCTGGTTCCGCTGACTGTTGGTTGATTGGAGGCAAACGGCACCAAAGACATCACCAATCCATGACTCATGGGGAAGCTGTCGAACAGCCACAAGACACTAGAGAAATCTGAGCCGAGGCACGTCTCCATCAAAAAGTGAGGAGAAGCCGTCTAGCCAGCTTCCTTCCCGGGGTTATTGCCGAGCAGCGGTCGATTTTAAAGCCACTGGCGTTTTTTTCTGCAACTTCATTTCTTTGTTTTCCACGCCAAAAATGAAAACGAAGCCATCCATCTCGAACACTGAAGCGTGGCGTTTCTTTCCGGCAATGCAGCCAAGATATCTTGGCCAGCCAGTAACGAGTTCGCCAAGTCGGGACGCCGCCGAACGACAACGACTAGCCACCAGTTTCCCGAGCCATTCGTACGATTGACGAGTTTTCTCAGGCTTTGGGTTGCGACCAATCAGCTTCGGCCGGACCGCTCTCGGGGAGAGCAACTCGTCTCGTGCGACGGAGACTTTTTGGGCCGATTTTCTCCTAGGACGAGCATGAACTAGGCTGGACGGCATTGTGCAAGGGCGTACGAAGTAGACTCTTTTTTAGTTCGGACTTGGGGATCAGCTCAAAAAGCGAAACATGGTTTCTCTATTCTTCTTAATTCAGCCCTTCACCGATATGCGATGAGGCTGCTTAGGCCACCCACGATAATTCCGCGGATCCGGCGTCGAACAGCCGCGGCTGGCTGTCTTCCAAAGAGGGGGAATATTCCCTACATCAGCTATTTTGGATTCATACGTGGCTGCGCCTCTAAATAAAGGTAACAAAAAGGAAGGGCACTAAATCTAGCTGAACCGCGGTTGGGGGAATGTTAACCTTGGTTGGCTTGCATTGCATGAACCAGCTAGGCATAGCACTGATGTATTTGTGTTGTTGCAGCCGGCATATCACGATCAGCAGCCGTGCTGATGGACCTGCATGCGCCTCGCTCGCGTAACTCGCCAATTAACTTTGTCTAGAGTTGATGAGGCTTCGTTGAGATGGCAACTCTGTGCTGCTACACCAATCAGTAGACGGTGATATCGTTGCATACCATCCTTGTCCTGTTAGCAGCTCGACTGTTGAGCTTCACTAAAATCAGCCAAGGATGGCGTTCATCTTTAACAGGTTACACAGCTGAGTTACGCGGTAGAAGGATCACCCGTGATATCGTAGAACATTGGCTGTATTACTGTCTGAAATGACAAAACATTATTTACGAACTATTATAAGACTACATACGAGCTGATTCAATAAGCTAATATGATCCTGCAGATCTTGGACTCCTCAGTCTGTCCTTCTGTCCAATCTACCTCCCCGAAGCCGGCACGAGTAAGAGTTTTCTTCCAGTCACTCACATCCATAGTAGCATGGTCTCTACCATCGTCGAAGAGCCACCATCCATCCAACTGTCCAAAAATGACATCAAGGAGATAGTAATTCCTCCAAGTGTATTCTACAAGAGTGAAGAATCCACCTGGGCGCAGCAGTTGGCGAGCGTTTGATGTGCTCTTGCAAACATCGGGGGTTGCATGCATGACGTTTGTTGCAATGATCATGTCGAAATAGCCCTTCATGTCCGCGGAAGGGTCTTGCGTGATGTCGAGGGTTCTGAATTTAACAAACGTGTGCTCTCGTAGCTTTGATTTAGCTGCTGTAACAAAAGAAGATGAAATGTCCGTAAAAGTATACTCGACAGAGATGCCGAGCTGAGCAAACGCCTTGACTGCGGGAAGAGTAGTCCCGCAGGTGCCCCCGCCGATTTCCAGCACCCGGACAGTCTGGCGTGGTGTCTGTGAGCCGAAACATGTCTTGATAAAGCTCACAAGCTGCTGAGATACGGAAGCCTGTATGGGGGCGATGAGGTACTGGTCTGCCATCAACTTGCGCTTTTCTGGGCTACCAAAAAGCAATACCAGCGGGTCCAACTCGCCAGAGACGCACTTATCCAACTTGGAGCCAACAACGTGAAGGAGCTTGTGTTCAGGTGCAAATTGCGGAAACTCTGAAATAATCCGGTCATATCTCTCAGATGATGTTGGTTGAAGAGCCACAGCTTTAGACGTACGAACCCAGGCATTGTGAACTTGAGTGAGGAGACCGTCATCACGAAGAGCACGCATCAACTGAGCCATGAGCTTCTCATTCCGTGGTAAGTGGGGTATGTTCGGAATCTTCTGGCCGGCGTTGATGGTGGAAAGGTCACACCCAAGCTTGGCAAATGCCTCAGTGATGTAGGCAACAATCAGGCTCGCTTGAGAAGGGTGGACTTCAGAGCAGAACTTGTCACATCCTGTTTCTCGGGCAATGAGATCGAATTCTCCACGTATGAGGTCGAAGGCTGTCTGAGCCGCAGCGGATAGTTCCTTGGTTGACCGCGGATCCTCATGGCCTGAAAGCTTCATGCTAGACGTGGCGGAAGTTAGTGATGCGTTCTTAGACCCAGTCGTATCTGGAACATCAGATGGAGGTCTTGAACTAACTTCAGCATTGTAAGAGAAGCCACTTGTTCGGTCCGCAATGAGTTTGCACAAAGCGCCAACATTGTGGGCACTCTCAAATTCTCGCACGCCGATTTTGATGGAGAAGACCTTGCTAATCTCGTCCGCAACCTCCATTCCCATCAATGAATCGATGCCAAGGTCAAAGATGGAAATATCGCTGCGAAGGGAGCCAACATCGACGTCAGCGATGCGGCCAAGCAACTCGAACAGCAATTTGGAAACATCCGGCAAGTCTGGTGACAGGATTGACTCGTTGTCGACGGATGAATCTGGAGTTTGGGGGCGTGTCGTGGTGGGTTCAACGTCGTCAATGACCTCATCTGACAAAATTGAGTGACGTCTCGGGGTGAATTGAGGGGATGGAATGGTAGACGAGGCGTTTGAAGGAGGAGCAGTAATGGTAATATGCCTGGTTGGCTGTGGGATTGCGATTGCAATAGGTTTGTTGGACTGAGGAGGTCTAATAGTAGCTCTCCTTTTAGACTGAGAGGCTGCAACCGTGATAGGGCCGCCGAGAGCTTGTCGTAGGGATTCAAGCTGTAATTTGGCGAATGTCACGTCCAGAATGACTGCAGATAGCTGACCACTTTGTGTATCGCATACAAAAATATCGCAGGTCGTCTCTGGGCCGTCAAGCCCAAAGAATTTGAGATAAACCGCCCAAGAAGTGTTCTTACCGGATGACAAGTCAAGAGAGTCTTCAAATATGACCTGCCCCATTGCCATGTTGATAAAGACCTCATCGTCTTCGCGGTCTTGCAAGCCGTTTAGGCAGAGCAGGGGAACTTGAATGAAATGCTCAATGGCCTCAAACTTGTTATGGAATGAAGACACTAGGTAGCCTGCAGCTTCGTTGCCTTTGGCAGACACCTCCTTGACTGACTGCCCAGATTTTGGGATTTGAAAGACGTTTAAAACACTCTTGTAGACCGCTTTTCCCTTGACGGAATCTGCTTCGTCATCATTCGTGAGATTTTTAATGAGAGTCGTATCAATGAGCCTTCGGAAGCGAGCAAAATCCGCCTTGACTCTCCCACTACTGACTAAAGGAGCAGAGACAATTCCGGAAACGTACGTTTGACTGGAATTGGCAGTGCTAGTGATGATAAAATTCCAAGACTGCGAATGCTTGACTCTAGTGACTGTCAGACTGAGATTATCCTCCGCCTTGGCTGGTATCGGACTCTGTTGTGCCAAGTATTCCACATTGTAAACGTTGTGCTTTTGGGTGGGAAGATTTTGGACTGTGTCAATAGCCTTGGAAATCAAGTTCATTATCGAAGAAACCGGGCAGATTTGAACATTAAGAATGTAGTTCTCAGGGCAAATTGTTTGCCAACTCTCGTGATGAGTGTTGATGCGGAATTCACCACCCTCATTGGTCTTTTGCAGCAACTGCAGGAGTGATTCTGGCTCTGAGACTGGAACTGGAACCTCAACCGCTGGAGGACCCAAGTCTTTCCATTCCAACCAGAAGCGCGCTTTGTCAAATTGGTATGGAGGAAGATTCAACACTTCATATTGCTGTTGTTGGCTGTGATGGAATGGCCAATACTGTATGGCCAGACCGAGTTCCCAAAGCTGCGCTGTCATTTCTGCCAGAGGCTCTATGGATGATGCAGACTCTAAACTCATGGACTTGATGTTGTTTGCAGATGCTCGTGTTCCGAGAGCTCGCCGTACCATGGACGCACCGAAGCCCGAACCGGCCTCGAGCCATGTACAAGGGCCAAGCTGTTCTGCAATCCTCTCTACTGCCTGGTGGAAGTATACTGGATCTCTCATATGTGACGCGACAAGAGCTGGAGTGGCAGTCTCCCAAGTGCCAAGGCCAGAGCAAGTCTCCAGGGGGATTCTTGGAGACTGGAAGTGTAATTGTTCGGTAATATCTTGTAGAGGCTGGAGTAGGGGCTCTGTCAAGGAAGAGTGAAAGGCATTTGTGACTCGCAATCGTTTTGCTTGGATTGGCTGCGGTGCATACTTCAGGATGGCTTCCAGAGCGTCTACCGAGGAAGTACTACCTGCGATAACAAAGCTTTGTGGCCCGTTATAACAAGCAATATCGAGTCCGAGATGCGCATGCTGCGCCAGAAGACTCTTTACCGTGGCCAGGTCCGCTTCGATTGCAATCATTGAGCCGGAGTCATTACCCCAATGCTCCTTGATTAATCTAGCGCGTCCAGTAATCAGCTGCAAGCTATCATGAAGCGATAATACTCCTGATACACAGAGAGCTGTAAGTTGGCCAAAGCTGTGACCGACGAGCTTAGCTGGTTGGAGCCCGCAGTCTATCCAGGCCATGGCGCTCGCGTATTGTGCACTGAATAGTATAGAGTGGAGGAGGACAACTTCTTCATGTGGACCAGGCTCGAAAATGTCCGGGAAGATACTCGGAGATCCAAGTGCACGCAACGTAGCATCGCAATCATCCAGATGCTTGCGGAAGATGGCAGAAGAGTCGTAAAAGGAGCGAGGAACGGTAGCCATCTTGCCAGTTTGCCCGCCAAAGTACAAGACAACTGGCTGCTGTTTGTTTTCATTCTTTAGAGGCTCCATGGATATTGTAGATGAGAGAAAATCCTTGAGCTCTTGAAGCGACGAAATGGTTGCGCATGCAGTATATGGCAAATTGGGGTTCCTGCGGCGCCATAAGTGGTAGCAAATGTCTAATGCCAAGTCATTACTGGCTGAGCCTGACTGGTTTATGAAACTCAGCAACTCGGAGCAATATGCTGCCATGCTTGAAGGGCTGAAAGCCGTAATAGACACGGGATAAATCGCTACCGATGTGGACGAAGATCGGCCCTTGATGTTTGGGGGCTGAGCAACGATCATTGCTGCATTAGTCCCCGAAGCACCGTAATTATTGATGCATGCAGCTTTGAATTGAGCCCTCCATGGAACCTTGCTTGTAGCAATGGCCATGCCACTGGGTTCCATGGGTCCAATCGCCGGGTTAAGATTCTTTAACAATGCTTGTGGCGGAATCACTCCCTTTTGCATCATCAAAAGAACCTTGATGAGTCCAGACAATCCAGAAGTAGCTTCTGTATGTCCAATGTTACTCTTTAATGAGCCCAAGTAGGTTTTATCGCCGTGAGGGCGAGAGTGGTTGCCAAATACGCCTCGTATACTTCGAGACTCAATCGGATCTCCAAGGGCGGTACCAGTTCCGTGAGCCTCAACATACGAAATGTCGTCAGCATGCATACCAGCACGCCGTAGAACCTTTCGGTAAAGATTCATCTGAGTAGGCCCATGGGGTACCGTGATGGAGTGTTCGTTTGCATTCTGGTTAACGCCCGTAGCGGCGATCACTCCCATGATAGGATCACCATCCCGAATAGCTGCAGAGAGTTTCTTCAGCACGACAACTGCCACACCCTCTCCTCGGCAATATCCATCAGCTGCGGCATCAAAGGATTTAGATGCCCCTGTCGGGCTTGTGAATTGGCCACTGGCAAGGTTCTGGAAGGTATCAGGGCTGACAAAGATGTTCGTGGCCCCTGCAATGGCAGCGTTGCAGTCTCCAGTTGCAACGGCTTGACAGGCTTGATGGATAGCTGTACCTGATGCTGCGCATGCTGTGTCATACATGATGGCAGGGCCAGTCCAGCCGAAGTGATGGCTGATCTTTCCCGCAATAAACGGCCGGATTGACCCGGTCAGTGAGAATGCTGAGGGTGGATGGGTGGCCACGTTCTCAGCATACTCGTTTGTGCAAGTGGCAAAGTAGCAGCCAATGTCCCGCTCTGTCCCCGTTGTGTAGGTGTCACGGCTGAAATAGCCTGCTGACTCCAAGGCCTGGTATGTGACCTGCAGCCCCAGTCTCTGTTGAGGATCCATGAAGGTGGCTTCGCGACTGGCAACCTTGAAGAACTTGTGGTCGAAAGCATCTACATCATCAATGGTGTTGGCTTTGAACGGCCTTTCATAGGCTCGCCGTGCAAAGCGGGCATCTGGGAAACGGTCCTTGGGGAGATCACGATATAGTGTTGTTCCTGTTTCGAGGATCTGCCATAGTTGCTCTAGAGACTCAGCTCCGGCAAACTTGCATGCCATTCCCGTTACGGCAACGGCTGAGTCTTGAGAGTATGGTAGGGAGGGAGATGCATCCATCTCTGGGTTTCCACCCTCCAGTGTATTTCTCCAATTCTTGTTGCTCCAGGCATTATCCATGTCTTGGGTGGACGAGCCATGGCTCATCTCATCATGAACGGCCATTTCTGCGGGCGTCCCAGTTCAGAATGGCGTGGGTCAGCTCGTTATTCGAGACGTTTGCTCCGAAATCCTTGTAACGTGTGAGCTAAATAAGAACCTAAATGACAGATGCTGGCATACGTACCGAAACGATGGGCTTGGGGCTGAGAATATAGATATGTATTAGATGCTAAAACATCTCGCTGAAAGCCCATACATAAACTATACAGTAGTAACAGCAGAAGAGTCAATGTGGCTTAAACAATAAATAGGCAAAGCTCGCCTACCTGTCAACCAGGCTGCCACTTCAGACGATATCATATCCAGTTTATATCCGGGCCGTGTGAATCTGAGGAAGCTGGCAATTAAACGAGTCTTCGCGATCAGCGGTCGCTTGCCTGAAAGGGGGATGTAGCACTTCCTCATCGGTCTATTTTTTAACCTCCATGGCGATGTTGGTACATGGGAAGTGACCGCAATTCGGCCGCCAAGTCAACTAATCACATTATTCAACAGGCTGAAGACTTGAAAAATCCCCCTTCAGCTTTACATGGTGCTGATATCAGCGACAGGTGGTATTGCATACCTAGCAACCGGTTCAAGTGGTTGACGTGGGCCATGTAGATTTAACCCTCCGGTAAATCGGCTGCTACACAGGTGGGATGGGTTCAACGGCGCTAATTCTCAAGCACTGTGTGCTTTTCTTCGGGTTTTATTCCTATCCTGCTCTTGGATACAGGGTCCTGATCACCGTCCGTGTATCCCGCGAGGACTAGGAGCCCGGCAGATACTAGCCTCGTGTCAACGAGTTAGTCCCGAATACTAAGTATTAGTCCATCATCGTAAAGAGATGCATCATTTTGATAAGACATGATTTCTTCAAGGTGGGGGGCCCTTGCAAGTTCATCCCGATCGTGCTGACGCTCCCCCCTGGCTTTAGGTGGCGCCACAAGCCTTTAACATCTGAAGACTCCGAGTTACACCGGCCAAGGCTTTGGTCACAGCTTTGTGCTAGCCAAGCGAACCAACTTGTATGCAATACTACCTGTCGCTGATATCAGCGCCAGTCGGTTCCACCGAGGGTCGCTAAATGATACAAGTGTGATAACGCGGGACTCGCCTGACAGACTAGGACGGATATTTGGAATGAGGTACAAGCAGTATGATAGCCGTCGTTCTTGTACTGGGTTCGTGATGGACAGTAATGGCAGTAGTTGCACAACGGCCTCAATCGAGACACATATACCACTACACACGGACCTAGGGAAGATCAAATTGAAACCGGGGGTGACCCAACTGCAGGAATTGAATCCTAGTCAATCCTAAACCCGCTCCGATGCAGACGCTGCATCCTCCCCCTCACCCAGGATCCTCTTGAAATCCCCTCAACCGTTGGACACGGGTGAAACCTGTGTATATAATAGCATATTGGACGCAATTCGCACATGCCCATTGCACAACGAGGATTCTTCGCTATTCGATTACTCGCCCGTGGGACAAGATGGCTACCGGTATCTCAACTTCAGGTATGAAATGAATCGCCTCACCGACAAGCATATTCAGTGCTGATGAGTGTGGATCTAGACTATCTTAGCATCAACAATCTCGCCTTTGAATGGGCAGAGAGCTACGACACTAAGGACTGGGGCCGTCTGAAAGAATGCCTTGCACCCGCGATCCGCCTAGACTTTAGTTATCTCCGTGGGGAAAAACATGAGAATCTCACCCCGGAAGCGTATTCGACCATCCTCATTGGCATGATTGGAGACAAGCGGTTGAAGACGCAGCATCTCCTAGGCGTGGGACAGTGGGAGCTCCAGAGTGACGGTGTCGTCCGCGTCGCGTGGCAGATCCGAGCGGCCCATATACGATATGCCGACGAGACTCTCGCAGAGGTGACAAACCACGGCCATGGCCACGGCGTCACCACTCATTGGTACAAGAAGGTTGACGGCGTTTGGAAGATAGAGGGCGTCGCGCCTAGACTTGAGTTCCAAGAGTATGACTTATTCGGCACCCTTGCGGCGCCTGAAGAAGTAAAAAATTAAGAGCTTGAATAAAAAGAGCACCACTTCAATATATGCTATTGATGCGAGAATTTGGATACAACTCGTTCTAGAGACTGACAATCAAGGGTTCCATGTTACTTCGACCATTGCGAGCTTACAACCCTCTGGTCTTCGTACGCCTTCCATCGTGAACCGTGAATCGCTTAACTCCAAGACGCGTCTAAACTCGTCTGCTGATCTATCTTTTCCATTGGAGATTGTTGCCATGATAAAGTCCTGTTGGAAATTGAACTTGCCGGATAATTTCTTCACTGGCCTGTCCTCCAAGACTGAGTCCCAGATAAGGATCTTGGAGCCTTTTCGCAACGCTGGAATAAGAGCACGAAGAATGATGGCGCTGTGATGGTCACTCCAGTTATGAAGACATCGGCTGATTAAGTATGCGTCTGGCGGGTTTTCTGACTGTTGAGGCTCCATAAAGTTTTGCTCCTGGAAAGAAATCCGTTCGTTGAGCTCGGCTGGGAGCAATTTTCGACCCTTTTCTACAACATGAGGAAGATCATGAATGGTAAAGGACAGATTTTGAGTCTGCTTGGCCAGGGCTTGGGAAATCTGCCCATATCCACCACCAAGATCGACCAGTCGGGCCCCAGGTCTATCCAGCGTTGACCAGTCGAATCCGTTGATGATGTCGAAGAAATTGAAGTCTTTATCTTCGACGCAATACTTCATCGCCCCGTCGAAGCGATTGGCGCGTTCCGGCTCTTCAGCCAAAACGGTGAAGAGTGATCGCCCGCCATTCTGCAGACTGAAGGCACTCTGATCAGGCTCTCCAGCGTCGTCGCCAAATTTTTGCCAGGCCTCAATCAGCTTCAAACTCGCGGGACCAATATCCTCGAGCTGAAGACCTATAGCGCTGTAGTAGCCATCGTCTGCGGCTAGCAGCCTGGATATGGCAGTATGGCAAATCTGACCCGGCACTGGTTCGTCGAATATGTTCAATGTCATGGCTGATCGAATTGTTCGAGTAACGAGAGATCTGCCCAGCCCGCTGGTAGCCGAAATCTCATCGTAGGTCGCCGTCCCATCGAGGGGTATGGCAGATGCCAGCCTGTATCGCCATATTATTCGCAAGATGAGTTGGTCCGTCCACTGTTTCACATATGAATCAGCAATTGTATTCCCCTTCCTCATTGACAGATGGGGATCAATACCCCAAAAGCTATATCCAATCCGGAGAGCCTAGCACCTCTGAGGAGTTGCGTAATTGTGTGACTTGTATCAAGAAGATCCCATCGTAGCTTTTGAGCACCATCCGGCAGTAACTCGAGAGTGTCTTTGTCGAAGGACGTAGGTGGAAGATTATTTTGCTCAAGCAGTTGCTCAACTTCTTTTGCCTGAGCTAGCAGTTCCTCTGCCAGCGATACCAACGAAGACATTCTTGAAACAGCTGCTCGCTATGAAACGACGTATAGCAAGACTGTATGCAAGATGAGCGAAGACGGCTCTTCAAGGGACATGCCCGAGCTTGCTTAGCAGTCACATATCACAAACACCAGCAACCACGTTTACCGAACATTGGCGATCTAATCCATAACTGCCATGGATGATCTGCCACTTTTTCGATGGCCGAGCCAGAATCAGCTGGACTCATTTGGGATTGAATGCCTATTCTGGGTTAAACATGATCATTTACGGATACGAGAGCCACATCCCGGGCTGATGTGCCAAGGTTACAATGCCGTTGAAAGGCTCTGTCACGGTTTACTTGATACTGTGCGGAGCAGGATGAAATCCTTCCTTGGCAAAGGCAAAGCCTTGACCTGGACCGTAGGCGAAGGCGGCTAGGCCGGATCACGAAGCGGAGGTTCATGTGTCTCGGTGATGCCCCATATCCAGAAGCCGAAAGGCATTGCCCAGACTATCGAGGCAGACTCAATCAAGCAGGTCTGATTTGAATTCTCCCCTCGGCAGCAACTCACCGATTCCAATACTGTAACAGACTTACCCCATGTCGAGTGGGCCGGAAATGGCGTTTCATGACACACAACCTAGTCTATCACAGGAGCAACTTGTGCTTGTACGAGTATGTACTAGCAACTACTAGTAAGACGGGACGAGACGGGACGAGATTTGCAGCCAGGGCAAAAAAAATCAGACGCCAGGCTCCACCATCTCATCAAATAGCCAGCTAGACTTGGTTGTAAAAGTGAAGCCAAATCTTTATTGATATCTTATTGGGGAGCCTACTGCACGTGTGCAGACGTACGGAGTATATGGTACCTATGCAATAGGAATGATACTATGGCCAGGATTGAGGAACCCCCTACTTTTATTCGCAAGGTCTATTCGTACATGCAGTTGGGAAAACTTTTTTCTTTTCCCGCCTCTCGGCTGAATAGAGGTGCCGATACCATGTAATCAATCACATCAAACATTCTATTTCCCTTGCCTTATCGCAGCAATGTCAATGCGATAGTTTACTTCCCCAGATACGTCATGTCGTCTTTTTTGCCGCTAAGAAGAAAGCAGGGTGAGACAACGTCGATCTTCTTCAACAACAGAAGGACAATGTAAAGATACAAGCATGCTGACATGGTTGCCTACATACTTACTGTATGCAGAGCTGTACTCGTAGAGCGATGGTATACCATTCGCTTAAGGCTACTCGTTTAGGGAACATCCTTGGCCCCCATGGGTGCTGTATGGCGTAATCCGAGTGCCTGCTTTCTCTTCATAATACGACGCTGGAGCAGAGAGGCAAAGAGGATGACCAGCTGATGCCACCCAGGGTTCCATACACCCAAGTCATCCTATCCCAGCACAGACCGAAAGCATCATTACCTCGGCGTGCCCTGCTCCGCGTCCAAATGTCGCATCTAAAGCTGGTGCTCACACATGAGCCACAACCGCTGCTACCTTCCACCAAGAAACCAGGCATATCAAGTCGCGTCTCCGGGGGGGCTTAGCGATGTACAGTACGACTTGGACGTACCAACAGACGGAGATGTGCTGGATTTTCCCTCATGTCCATAGCATTGGCTGACTGCCCACGTACTGTGTTACGTCGAAACAATCATTGTCTGTGTTGACGCGGGCGCAATGGTCTGATGTCTTTCATCCAGCCATAGCCTGGTAGGGGAAGGGCCGCATATGTAGAGATGCTGATCGATCTGCGTGAATCCATGCTGCGAACAGTGCAAGGATGCGAACTGCTGCATGCACTGAACCAAGAGCGACATCTCCCAATTTTAGCCTCGTCATCCCACGCAGTCGTTTTTTTCCTGCTTTTTATATTTTATTTCCTCTGCTACTAGTCTTGAATCTATCCTCGGTTAGTGCTTCGACTGTAGGAATCGTTTCTTCTTTTCTTTTGTCTCTTTGTCTTATTCACTAGTTGTTCTTCACCTCGCTCCATCATGGCCGATGTAGGCGGCGACAAAGGCCCTCTTTGTCTCGCAGTCATCATCGCCACATTGGCTGTGGGAGGCATCCTCGTCTTTACTCGCGTCCTCACTCGTACAGTCATCAGACCCCATTTTGGGTGGGATGATGGCCTCATTGTCATTACCTGGGTATGTTGTGGAAGCGCGCTTCTCGGCGCAAAATGTTGTCGTTGATGTCGACTGACTTTGTCGTCTCAGTTCATTATTCTAGGCTACAATATATGCATGTTCGTCTCGATTGAACGAGGTTATGGAAAACGCGGCGCTACCTTGACGGATGAGCAAGTCACGTCGGCGATTAAAGCAGAAGTCATCGGCCAGTTCTTCGCCATCGCCTCATTCCCATCCGGCAAAGCCTCCATCGCGTATCTGCTGCAGCGTATTTTCCCTGGCAAGAAACTACAATGGTTCTTGTGGTCATTCGTTGCCGCAAATGCTATCTGTTTCTACATTGATGCCATCTTGATTTTGGTCCAGTGTCAGCCAGTGGCATTTCAGTGGGATCACACCATCCCGGGGGGCAAATGCTGGGATTCAAGAGTTGTTGTTGACTGGGGATTTCTCACTGGCGGTAAGTCCTCGCTTCACGTTCGCTAGGTCTATACAAATCCCAAGCTGACATAATATCTAGCTATCGGTGCCCTTACAGACTTTTCCTTTGCCGTCCTGCCATGGTTCTACCTCAGGAAGCTTCAGATGGGCCTCAAGGAGAAAATCACCATTGGCGTTGCCCTCAGCATGGGTTTCTTCGCCACCGTGTGTTCGTCTCTCAAGATCTATTATACGTGGACTTTAGGGTCGCACCAGGATTTTACTTGTAATTCCTCTCATGATTAGTGTCAATGTACTAAACGGAGACTGACTTGTATACAGATGATACCGTTCCCTTGGTCATTTGGTCGTGTGTGGAGCTGGCTTCCATCAACGTCGCTGCTTGCATTCCTACTCTCGGGCCACTCTACCTGTGGCTCCTTGGTCGTAGTCCCAAAAGCACAAGCGCGAAATCCGACTATGAGTCAAGGGGGACTGGCTCCGGGAAATTCGGACGATTGGCGAATCGGAACAGTAGAGGCATCGAGCTCGAATCCCTCGATGACCCATCTTTCAACATCTACCAATCCAAATCCTACAGGGTCAGTTTTGGAGACCGCGATGGCAAGCCGATAAAGGTGACAGAGACGGCTCAGACGACGCAGACGACACAGACGATACAAACAGAAGATGCTGGGGCTACTATCACGGTCCAGCGTGCTTACGCTTATTAAAGTCCAATGTTTTTTCTTTCTCTTTCTTATAATGAATACAATGTTTGGTTGGCCTAAGGCGTTTGAAGATGCTCGCAAAAGAGCTTGGGATGGAAGGTTGCGTGCCAGCGGCGGCACATATATGCGGCTTGCGGATGAGAGTCACGATGGATGAGAGTCACTATGGATGAGATTAGTGAGAATGTGATATACCCAAATTTGCAAAATCATAACTGCATGTAGAACTGAAACGAAGAAACTTGAGCGCGATCAATCTCTCAAGGGATATGAAACTTCTCAGTGAAGATCAAGTTTCTCAACAGCATTCTTAACCTTAGGAGTTACTGCAGAGCTATCTAGTTTCCAGAAACCTTCTGTTGCTAGCTAAAATAGCATAACAGATACACTTTCTATACTGAAGTTGTTGCACTCTTACAGAACTCTACAATGAGTATCTAGTTGTACATTATATCCTAGATGGAGACATGGTGCGCACAAATCGGCCTACTGCGCTGATGATTCGCAGCTTATAGAAGACTTTGCCGGTGAATACGGTTGAAGACGTGGTTAGGTAACTACAATGGCAACTGTCCGTAAACTCTAACCTTGTTTTAATTATACTATGACGAGAACGAGTGGAGACGCTTTGCTCATTGCCGATAATATCTGGTTTGACTTCTGTCTATGGTAAGAAGTCAAGGAAAAATACCAAGTGCCCCTGTCGATCGAAAGAGTAAGACGGGGACAAGTCATACTATGTCAATATACCCTGAAAGTTGCAGCACTGTCGTTTTGGAATAACGAATACTATGCGAAACTACCTATGTGGCATCACACAGCCTCTTGTAACCCAAGGTAGTATACAACGCCTTCCCATGTTCCGCAATGACCTCCGTACTTGATGCAGAGACAGTGAGAATGGTTCCACAAATTAGACCTTCTGAAAGGTAACATCACTATCTTTTCGTTCCCCTAAGAGGTTATGCGACCTCACTGTTGATAATCAGGCCATTCATGCCGTTAGCTTTTAATAGAACACTACCTAAGGGATAGTCCCACCTCTATTGCTACAGACATTGCCGTGTTTTACTCCCTTCAGACCTTCCTCTTCTGTTGCCATGCTACGATTGCTTCTATCTTTTCTTTTAAGGCTTACCATTATTCTGGCAATGTCACCTTCCAATGGACGATTTGCCACGCCGATCATTCGTCTAATTGCTGACGGTCAAGGCGCAGTTTCTGAAGAATCAGTTTTTAAGGGCTGACTGGGACGTCGCGGAACTTGTAAATTGCAGAGCCGAGGTTTCAGACGTTTGTCTTCTGATGTGGATAGTCGAGGTAGTGTCTCTATGCTACGATATAGTCTTCTGGCAGTTCCATAACTGTACCGATGGCTCTTCAAGACGTATCGTTACATTTTAAGGTCTGTTATAGAGAGTAGCTATTCAGCGCATCAGAGACTGCATGAAGTTTGTTTATCGAAACAGAATGAGATAGAAAGCCTTTTACAGGTACTTATCTGCTTAGGTAGTAGATAACGGGATTTTGAGCATCTGTTACTATTATTACCTCCTGCTACTATCGCTCAATGTGGCTTTCACTTTGAGACACAGGATGCTGGATAGTAAGCTTAGGGTGTTGAATAGCCACCTCCCATAGTTGTAGCTCAATTGCCCAAACACTGCGATAGTATAAACTCCAAGGAAAGTAAATTAACAACAACTTCACCTGTGATGTAAGTAAATAAATTTCACAAAAGTATCACTACTAGCACGAATATCTGTCTAAACAAATGACTTTCTCTAATTCCTATATGTTATGCACCTTGTTCGATTTTGTTCCAACGAGTTGCGCCGAATGGGGGAAAGTCTAGCTGTTTCAATATCTGTACCAACAATGATGCATTATCCTTTACAAATGGATTTACAAAGATGACATACACATAAAATTTTCTTCCATCTTTACAGCAACTTAGCTAATGTTTCGGAAGCCAAGTACCTTGCTCTTGGTTCGCTCCTTCAATTACTCTCATCCAACTCGGGCGATTCTTAACAAAAAGCTTGTCAGAAGCGGCAGCGTATGAGAGAGTAATAGAGTTAAGGAGAGGTTCTAGTTATTATAAAGGGATAAAGTAGCTAAAAGGTATATAATAACTATATTTATCTTTAACCTTTTCTTAAACTAAGGGGATTTATATTTCTTTATATAGTAAATCCTAGCTATAACTAGCCTTTAAGTAGTAACTTTAGTAATATTTACTAACTTTATAGCTTTATAATATTTTTTTTTTTTTAAATTTTTAATAAGTTATTTTTTTTTTTTAAAAATATACCCTTATATAGTTTTTTATAATCTTTTTTTATACTTTTTCTTAAGGTATTATTAAAGTATTAACTTTAACTTATTTTTATATAAACTATAGTAAAATTTAGTTATAAATAAAAAACTTTTATTTAATATTATAATAATAAGGGGTATAATCCTTAAGTAAATAAAAGTAAAAAACTATATAAAAGTTATTTATTATAAAGTAATTTAGTTTTTATAATAATAATTTTATAAAATAAGTTAGTAATTATTAATTATAATATTTAAGTTATAAAAAAGTAGTTTTTTTTTTTTTTTATAAAATTTTTAATTATTATTATTATTATTATATTTTTTTTTTATATTAATATATTTATTATAATATTCTTTTTAATTATACTTTATTAAAAATTATTATAAAATATTATAGTAATAACTATAGTTATAGCTATATTAATATTTTTTTTTATTATATAGCTAAAAGTTAATAAGTAAGTTATACCTTATTCTTAGTTTACTTTTTTCTTACTAAAGCCTAGTGTAGGCCTTATATATATAAATATTATATATATTATTATACTTATTAAAAACTAGGTAATATAATAGAATATTATTATAATATATTAAGTATATTTCCTTATTCCCTAAGTTTATTTTACTTAAGCTTTACTTACTTTTTTTTAAATAATAGTAATAAATATTTTTATTATAATAATTATAATAATATTTATATTTTTATATTAATTATTAATAAGGCTATATATATAAACTTAATTAATAAAATTAAGTTTAATAACTTTAATTTAGTAAGTTAATTTTATAATAGTTATATAATAAATATTAATATACTCTTAGGCTTATATTATTATACTTTAAGTAAATTATAAAAAAGCTTATAATAAAGTAAAGCTAAGTTTTACTTTAGTAACTTTTATTTATTAAACTTATACTATAGTAATAGTATAATAACTTTATTTATACTATATTTATAAAATTATAAATACTTAAGTTTAATTAAATATTATAAATTTATTATATAACCTTTAGGCTATACTTATATTTTATATTTTAATTTATTCCCTTTAATTTTATTAAATTACCTTTTATTAATTTTTTTTATAATTTTAGCTTATACTTAGTTAAGCTTAAAATATTATTTTTATTACTATAACTTAAGACTACTTTAATTTTTAAGCTAATATATTATAAACTAAAGTAATTTTTATTATTAATAATATTATTATAAATAATATTAATAAATAAAGTATATTTTATAATTCTTTTACTTTTATAATATTTTAATATAATATTTAATAATTATAATATTTACTAATAACTATAGTAAAGAAAAGTAAAAGAAATTAAAAAAAAGTAAAAAAAATTAAAAAAAGTTAATAAAAATAAAAAAAATTAAAAAAAAGTAATAAAAAGTAAATAAATATAAATAAAAAATTTCTTATATTTTTATAAGGTTTTTTCTTTTTATAAAATTTATATTTTTACTTAAGGTTTTTTTTAGCTTTTTTTTACTTTTTTTTATTATAAAAGCTTTATAAGTAAATCTTATATATTTAAATAAGTTTTTTAAGTTAATATTTATATATTATATTATATACTATTATAAATTATATTCCCTAAGCTTTTTATTATTTAAGTTACTCTAGGGCTTTTATAACCTTTTTTTTACTTTATTTTTTACTATAATAAGCTTTATAAGTAAATCTTATATATTTAAATAAGTTTTTTAAGCTAGTATTTATATATTATATTATTAACCTTACCCTTAGTTATATTACTTTTATAAATTATATTTACTAAGCTTTTATTATTTTAGTTACTTTAGGGAGTTTATAAGTTTTTTTTTATTTTATTTTTTATAATAAATAAGTTTTTCTTTACTTTATCTTTTACTATAGATCTTATATATTTAAGTAAGTCCTTTAAGCTAGTCCTTACCTTAGCTATATTACTATTTATAAATTATATTTACTAAGTTTTTTATTATTTAAGTTATTTTAAAAACTTTATAAATTTTTCCTTACTTTATCTTTTACTATAGATTTTATATATTTAAGTAAGCCCTTTAAACTAGTTCTTACTTTAGCTATATAGTAATTATAAGTTATATATACTAAGCCTTTTATTATTTAAATTACTTTTAATATAGCTAGAATATTATTTATACCTTAAAACTTTATAAGGTTTTATTAAAAATTATTTTTATATTTCTTTATAAAATTCTAGTTTATAAAATCCTTTTTTAATACTTAAGAATTATATTTTTTACTATAGCTTTTTTATTTTATATAATAAATATAGCTTTTTCTTTTTTTTTTATATTTTATAATCTTTTTAATATTATATATCTCCTTTAATATAAAAGAATTATTTTTTAATTTCTTAATAATTTTATTTTTACTTTTAAATTCCTTAAGGGTTATAATATTAAATATTAAGTATATTTTAACTAAGGTTAAGAATCTTAGTTAATAAGTAAGGCTACTTATATTAATAATTTTATTAATTTAGTAAGGTTTTATATATTTAAGTATTAGTTTTTAACTTAGTTTTTTAAATTTAAAGTTTTTAATTAATATTAATACTTAGTTTTTTATATTAAATATTTTCTTTTACTTTTTTTTATTATATTATTTATAATATAAATTACTAAAGTATTATAAAATAATAGTTATATTTTCTTAGTCTTTAATTAT